GCTCAATCTAGCGTGGCCAATTGACGCTCTGTCGAGATAATTGAAGAAGTAAAGACACCAAACACAAGGCATGAGAGTCATATCAAGACGACGAACAATCTTCTTCTCCAGCTCGCGCCAGTTCGGAATACCAAGAGCGTCAATCTGCTCCTCAGGGCTAGGAAGACGGCCTTCATTCTTGAGATAGCCTTCCTCTACCATACCGAGCTCCTTCTCAATGGCAGAGGCGGTATCGGCCTTTTCGTCAATGGGAGCCTTGACATCAAAGCCCGGGACCTGAATGTCTTGCGGAGGGACATCACCGCCCGCTTTCTCACTCGGGGTCGTCATATCTTGACAAATAACGCGTAACAAATAAAGAGATAACGACTATTGATGGTTGAGAAAGGGAGGGCTTGTGAAGTCGACCAGGGCAAAAGGCTGAGTACACGAGAACAAGAGGAGCGACTAAACGACGGTGGATGGCATTTTTTATAGATGAGCGAGACACAAGAGAAGAAAAACATTGGCGATGGAAGAAACGGGAAAACCCCGCATCTCTCCAATATTGGCATAGCTGGGCAAGCTGGGGAAAAAGGTTGCATGTGTGAGCCAAGAGTCCGGGGCAAAGAGCAAGAATTTCATCTTCTTGGTTTTTTAAAAACTGGAGAAGAAAAAAGGGTTCTGGGGCAAAAAACGGTCTCGCGTGCGTAAAACACACAGACTGGATCGGACCCCAGATAAATGACCAGAGATCAGCGGTGTCAAATGGTGATCAGATTACTTGTAACTCATGTCTCTTTAGAGGTGTTGTTTTAGAGTTAATTTATGCATTGACATCTACGATGCGATGGCGGTTGTTGAAGAGGCTGAAAATGAGGCTCTTATTCTCAGCGCCGTATTACCGGCCCTTAGGTCAATAGACCAGCCTCGATCACTTTAGTCTCTCCAAAATGCCCATAACAAATCTCGCGTATATTCTTATTCCGCGCTTTCATCAATTCGATCAAGTCAAACGGAGTCACAATTCTCTCGTATGTTTTTTTCGCTCTAACCGTACACACGCCAAGCTGACTGAATCGCAATACACTCATCATATTCCCCAATTGCGCAGCAACTCTCGTCTCAAAGAGGGGGGAAAGCTCCCGTCTCTCCCGTCCAGTCTGGGCATGTTACTCCAAATACACAGCAAACGCCCGAGTCTTCCCGTGCCAAGGGCGGAGAGTCCATTGCTGCGACCTGTACAGTGAAGCTCCGGGCATGACTACCCACTATAGTGGATTATTCCCGCCTGGGCAATACTCCACCATCATGTCAGGGCCAAGCCAAGTTGTTGATTTGAGATGGGAAAAGGTTATTCTTAAGCTTGTTCAAGACCTTGGCAGATGGGGCTGTTGTGTACCCGCGGGATCAGGCATCCTCCGATGTTACTCCGGATCCGACTGTTTGCCGTGCCCAGCCAATCCCGCGGGAGATTTACAGCGATTACTTTGTATACCAAGAAATCTGGCATATTTCGGAGGTAGTTCTGAGATCCTGTTATATGTACCGGCTTGGATGTATCCGAAAAGTATGAGACTTCTTTTTTTTATTTTTAATATGTATGAGAGTTCTCTCCTGTGCTGATGCAATTCGCAAGAGACCTGAAGGGAAAGCAGCTCGCTTAACTACAGCGTGTACTCGCCATAACTTCAGGGCCTTTATAGTAAACACATTAACAGAGTACAGCGACAATTTTCGCATTGGTATCAGCTGAATTACAAACATCCGGCACTTGTTTTCTTGGCTACATCCTGCCCTTGGCAAAGAAGTAGTCCGCCTCGGAGACTCGTTCTCCGACACCAGAGCCGAGATGCGCAAATGAGAAGGTAACGAGCGTGGTGCAATAACTGTAACTACAAGCGTGTCGCTGGAGCAATGAAACAAATGGCAGAGCAATGAGCAAACATGGACAATGATAACGACAGATAGTACCACTTCCAATAGGAGACCAGATTATGCAGCTACCAGCCTCGTTCAAAATGTGCAAAACTCGCATGATTGACTTCCGATCCCCATCCAATCGTCCTTTTGTAACCTGGGAATACTCATGCGTCCTTCGCCCATGACTCCCACTCAAAAGAAGCCAGCATAAACGGCCCAACGCCATTTTGCCCATTCTCTAGCTTCGGTCTGCTCACGTAGTACTATTGCCATCAGTAAAGGGTCATCGACATCGGAAAAGCTGTGCTCACCTCAAATGTAACATTCGAACTAGTCAAACCACATTCAGCGACTGTACTATTCAGCACCAACGACCCATCGTTGCCTTTAGTGACAAAGTTGTCAATCAAGCTTGTGAACGCATCCTTAGCAGTTTCGAGATATTCATCTGAGTCGAGATATCCCAAATCAACAGCTTTCAGTAGTCCCCACGTAAACATGGAGGAGCCACTACTCTCCATAAAGTTGCCTTCGCGTCCGGGGTAAGGTTCATTCATGACTTGCCACCAGCTGCCAAGATCTGGATCGCGGGAGTGTTTGAGACCCTTTGCGACAGATCGAAGGTACCCGAGTAACTGGTCATACCCGGGATGTGACGTGGGGAAGTACTGCAGGACCTCCACGAGGGCCATGAAGTACCAGCCAAGAGCACGTCCCCATACATTGGGCGCTCGGCCAGTTTTTGGATCTGCCCATGATGCTGTTCCTTCGACCCATCCGTGCACGTGAAGGCCTGTTGTCTCATTGATGGTGTTCTCATGTATGAGCTTGTACTGAAGAAGTATATCGTCCCAGGCTGTCTCGTTGTCTGAGTCATAGAGATGCGTCCATCTGGCGTAGAATGAATCAGCCATATAAATTCCATCTAGCCACATTTGGTTACGAAAGAATTGCTGGTGCCTGTGAAGCGTTGAGTAGTTGCCACGCGACAGTAGTTTGGCATGTCTCTCTTACCAGAAGCCCCCGGAAGGAGTCCGAGGATAAGAGTCCAGCATACGTCTGACGGTATTGGCAGCCGTCTCATACTTTGACTCTCCAGTTTTATTGAAGAGGTATAGATAGTTGTGACCCATTCGGTACTCATCCAGGATATACCGTGATGTGTTGAGACCTTTGATAGTCCCATCCTCTTGAACGACGGGGCCGTCGATCTGGCCGATGTACCAGTCGAGATATTTCTCATCACCAGTAAGTTCGTAAGCCTTTTCGAATCCAAGATACAGAACAGCATCTTGATATCCAAGATCTGGCTCAACGCCCTTTGCGATCATGGTGTCTGCCATCTCTGTCAGATAGGAAAGGCCATAATCGGCTCCGATGAGCATGATGACGAGTGTCCGCATAAAGGGCCACAACTTCTCAGACATTGTGAACATATCCAATATTTCCAATTGAATTATTGCATATAATGGTTCTGTATGGGTAATCTCCAATTGCGATTGATCGACCAGATCCATCGTGACCAGCCTTACTGCTCATATAGCAGCAAGACTGTCTAGCCAACAAGGCAGGTAGCAATGGCCAGAACGTCATACTGTTGGTCACTCAGGAGGTGTATGTGACTATGCACTTGTGATCAACTCTGGTTTCAAAAAGCCTTGTTTCTTCATGTTCTGTGAGGTCACTGATGAGGGGAAATCGAACGTAGAGGGCTGCAACGCACGATCGTACCAATGATGTTCTAGCATTTGAGCCGGGCATAAATCCTTATGCATAAGAAGACATGATATGCTTCCAGCATTGAGATTATTCTCCGGTCAATATTGGTAGATATTATTAAAACCCTGCGCTAAACTGGGATGTTATGATGTAATGGGCTCTTCAGGGTAGCTCGCAAGAATGTCAATTGTAATAGATTACTATTGCCAGTTTATAGTATAATATAATGTATCGCAGTATCTTCTTATATTAGCTTCTTGACTCTATTTTAGGCCTTTTTGATCAGTTAATAAGAGACACACACTACTATAGAGCGCACTGGGAGAGATCTTCATTGCTTTAAGGTTAATGCTATCTAGTAATACCTCTATAATTTACAACCTTACTACAAGACTACCTGGACATAAAATTATAACTCCGGGTCTGGAGCCTTTTTGCGCTTTAGTATTGATCAGAATCGGCGACATGTATTGTTATAGAACTAACTTCTAATACGACAAAAGGATATGTGATATAGCCCCTGATTCAGAAACACGGCTCGAACTTCAGGCGTTGTAGTAGCAGGCAAAAGACTGGGCCAAGCTCGCTGCCGTCTTACACTTGAAGTCCCCAGTATATCTCATCTGATCCAGATAGTCATTGCAGTCCCTTGACTTATAGATATTGCAGAGGCACCCTCCAGCCTGGCACTCTGCGATCAACATGCTAGACCCATAATGGTAGTTGTAGCAGTTTGTCTTTCCTGCGTAAATGCTTTGTGCCCATGTTACATCGAGTTGACCAGAGTATGACTTGCATTTGGTGTCGCTGTAGTAGTTGATCTGCATCTGCTTAGCTGCGGTGGCCGCGGAGATGAGCGTGGCGAGGACTGAAGCGGTAAAGAAGTGCATCGTTTTGGTTGCTGCGTGATGGGGTGTTAGTCACAAGGACAGGTTGGGGAGATGGTGATTGGGACGCGTAGTGACCTACAGAGGAGGGCTGATTTGTGGTGGGATGAAAATCATCTACTGGGTTTGTCTGTTGGTGGGACAAGTTCCGATGCTGTCTTTATACTCAACTTCAACCATTCATGACTGGTCGATATTCACAAGCTTTTGCACTTAGAATACCATGGATGTAATCGCGACAAATGCTGAGATAATATCAAAAAAAGCTTACAATACTTTTGAGAACAATTACAAAGCCAAATCATTGAAGCGTGATAGGTCAGAAGAAACTCGCTTCACGTAGAATAATTTTCGGTACGAGGCCAGCTGCCCAGTCTCGACCGGGCCACCTGCATACACGAGGTGGATATTGTGTTAATCAGACGTTACATATTCCCATCCATCCCAATTTGGAAGCTCGGAGCCACCGCTGAACTGATATCTCCAATTTCCTCATCGGTACTCATTACCGCAATCGCCCATTGTCTCAAACATCTCGGTTCTATTGCTCCGCTCCAGGACCTCTTCAATCAGCCTACCGTCATCATCATCCAGCCTCCAGCCGAGAGTAGTAGCATTATCGCTCGTATGCTCACTCATGCCAATCCGCGCTCCGATTATGACTGCTCCGACGTACGGAAAGTCCAGGACCCAGCGCGTAGCTATGTTGGAAATGTTGACTTTGTGCTTTGCCGCGATGGTGCGTAGGACGTTGAGCAGTTCTTGGAACAGGCTCCAGCCACCCCAGCTGCATATCATTCCGTAATACTTGAGTTATCGTCAGTATTCTAATGCGTGAATATGGCTGTTTTGCTTACCTTTCTCTGGCTGGGAGTGATGTTGGTGTCGTAGACATCTGGCTCTGGTTGATTGAGCCACTTGTCTGCGATGAATCCACCGCACTGAGGAAATGATCTGTTAGTGGTTGTATGACAAGTATACATCGAAAGCAGCTCACCAAAGTTCCATATGTCAACAGCTTGATGTTATGTTTCAAGCATGCATCTGCCATCTTGAACGTTGGCCTCGAGTCAATTAGTGAGAACTGCATCTAGTCAGTGCCGGTTCCGTTAGTGATTCTTGAAGTACTAACCTGGACTTGGTTCGTATATATCTTGACACTGTTTTCAACGACTCGTTCAAGATGTTCTGTATCAAAATTACACAGACCAATCCGGGCTACTCGTTTGTCTTCTGCCAAATATTGCAGCGCGTCAATATACTGGGGATTATCCCACTAATATTCTGTTAGTAGGATATCATACAATAAATAGTTATCACAACATACAAGTTGCCAATGGAACTGAAGCAGATCGATCACCTCTTGCTGTAGTCTGCTACATCTCTCGCTCACATTGGCTTGCACCGCTTCTCGGGAAACAGTCATGGGATGAAACACGCAGTACTTCGTTGCAGTAAACATGTCATCCTTATGGGGATACATCGAGCGAAAGCGGCCCTGTAGTTATGTTAGTCAATCTTGAAGACGCTTGAGCTATCGCATATGTACATAGAGAACTTCAGCATCACCATAGTGGTCTGCCATGTCGAACGCAGTGAATCCATTTTGAACATGCGTCGAGAATCCTTCGATGATCTTTGACATCTGTGCAGATCCCCAAGCTGGACTTGACATCTGCCATAAGCCTGAGAAAATGCGAGGTAGTGTTCTATCACCGAGTTGGAAGGTTTCCTTAGCCAGTGGAGGCCGTGCAATGTCCGAAGGTATCTTGCTCAGTTTCGTTTCTGACGAGTCCGGCAAAACAACACCCAAGATCTTTGCCGTCGTCAGCATCCCCCTATCGTATGGAAAATCTATGCTTGTGCCCTTCAGCATCTCTTGACACTGCGCGAGGGACTCAAAAAGTCTCTGGATAACGTTATGTTCTGTCGGAGAAAGTACTCGTGCGCCCGAGCTCACAGCCAGCTTCTTCGTCACGGCCGTCATTGCTTGGACCAAATCGCCATCCAAAGAAGCTAGGAATGAAGCAACTGTGTGCTGCTCTGTTTCTGGTGACTCGAGACCGATCTGGATACCGCGAACAACTAAGTTGTCGAGAATAGAGACGCCATCGAAAGCTTGCCCGGACCCAAGCATACAGCGCGCTATCCTCTGGGTCCTCTGCAGTCCAGCAATATCAAGAGTGGCGAACTGGGACTTGGAAGACCTTGTTTGGGTCTGAGCAAGGTATTGTCGCGTTGCATCTTCAAAGCTCGTGGTGATATTAGGGTGAGATGCCAATAGTGAGCGGATTATAACCCTCAGACCATCATCTGGTAGGTTCGCAATAACGCTATCCGTCATCATGTTGACGTGAGCGGTATTACTGCTGCCATTGTGAGAGACCGCCATAATGACTGATTGGTTCGAATTAAGAAAATTTCAGATAGATGCCGCGCTGGTTGAGTGTCCCAATAATTCGTGTAGTTAGAGATAACGGGATTACTAGTCTTGATAAAGACTGATATCAGTATTGAATATGATGACTGAGAATACCCCGCCGGTGTCTAAAGCAATCATCGGCGTTCAAGAAAACGGCACCGGCGTTTTAGACATGAGCTTAGAATGCCGACATAGCCGGCGTGATAACCAGTGGAACTTCTTATCAGCTTCCAAGCCAATCAGTATCTTTCGTCTTATCGGCAGACTCCACCACACTAGTTACCCCGGATTTGGCGAGAACCACCATTGATTGGGCAGGGAGGCAAGCTTGGTGACGATTCTTCAGCCAGGGCGATACCAGAGCCAGGTGCAGAGCTTTGAACGAAGCACGCATCAGCCCATCTGCAGCATGTCAAGTCCGTCTCTTCAGAGTGCTAATGCCTGTATACAATGTCGAAGAGTCAAGATGAAGTGCCGTCCCATGGGGCAGGACACGTCTAAATGTGAACGTTGTACCAGAAAAGCCCTCGATTGTATTTTCAGGGAGCACCGTCGAGGTCGTAAGCCGGGCACAAAGTGCGCAATTCCGCCTACTTTGATTTTTACCTTGTTGACATCGAGTATAGAATCTTGAAAGCGAAGAAAGTCCCTACCATCTCACCACAATCGATTCCAAGTCTGGAGAGTCCAGCGGCAGCAGGGGCCCATATCTCAGAAACTGAAGGCGATGCGAATAATCTACAACCATCAGGGCTACTCAATCACGAGGCTCTGGAGGGGAGGTTCTCTCTTGGCAATATTCTCAATGCGGATCAAGAAACTGTGCCGCGACAGCGAAGCCGGGATGAGTCACTTGAGGATCCCATAGAACTTGGGCTGATCACTCCATCCCTAGCGAAGTCTCTGTTTGATAGGTACACAAAATCATCCAACCCCATAAGAGTGTATATACTGACATCCCAACAGCTTCATAACGGTTCTAAATCCATACATCAGCCAGCTTGATCCCCATCTCCATACGTTTCCTTATGTTCGTTCAAAGTCTGCGTTTCTCCTAAGTTCCATGCTAGCCATGGCAGCAAAAGCCTTCAATCACGTTCTCTACATGAAGCTGTACGATCACGCCCAGGACCTCTTTTCCAATGTCTTCCGGAGAGGGAGCAAATCAGTAGAAGTCGTGCAAGCAATTCTCATTCTCACCTACTGGAAGGAGCCGCAGGACACAAGAGTCTGGACATCTGTTGGCTATGCGATTCGTATATGTATGGATCTGGGATGGCATAAGTTGTCGGCTTGCCGTTCTGCTACAGCCACGGCAGAGTCCGAAGTCCAGAAGCGAGAACGACGTAATATTGAGAGGACGTGGTATGTTCTCTTCGTTTATGATCGGAGGTATGGTCCCTCTGTCCTTCGTCGATGTGTTCGCGAAAGTTTGGGCGCTCACTTACTGACCCCAATAAAGTATCAGCCTTCAGACTGGACGGCCATGGATGATAGAATGCAGCGAGTTCATCGAAGCAATAGAAGATTGGTGCGACGACCCTTTAGCAATCGAAAACGACCAACTTCTGGGAGCTTTCACTACGTTGAGACTCGTCACCTCTTCCGCATTTCCCCTCCTGGTCACCAAGTCACGGCAACGATCCTTGTCGCACAGTGAGAGCGCGCCACTTGTCAGCCTATTAGACAGCCGTATGGAGAGATGGGAGAAGAAGTGGACTGAAAAGGTCAAAGCGCAGACTGAACAATCCTGCCATGAGTTTCTCATCCGCTTCTACGGCACACACCTTCGTCTTCAGCTTCATACCCTACCACTACATGGCATTCTCGTCTCCAACAAATCGACTATTAACTATCATATTGACACGGTCTGGGTGGCATATAGTAGTGCTCTCAACATGCTGCAGCTAATATCACGGTTCCCAGAGCATGTCTGCTTTGCTCAAGACTCTATCCATGTCATGACAGCTTATAGTGCTGCGTTTCTCGTCAAGGTTGGTCTACTTCTTTACTTGACTGGACTGTGCTGACAATCTTTCATTGTAGATAACTCTTGTATTTTCCGATTTTATATCTAGCCAGCTAGAATCTACTTGTATAAAGGCCATTCAGCAAGCGGCGCAAGTCTTTTCCAACCAATCCGGATGCATAAGCTCTAGTTGCACCCTGCAAGCATCGTTTCTACAAAAAGTCGCGACGAAGCTTTTAGAGAACCAGACGAGACACCAAATATCCCAGGAGGGTCGTCCTACAGGACTTGCAGAGCCTATATCCCAGACGGTAGATGAGCTTGATATAAACGAAGGGCCTAGTGTAGACTCTGAAGGTAGCTCATCCTCCCGACGTCCCCCCGATCTAGCAACCCTAGATATATCCTTTTTAGCTCAGGAAAACCTAGACTTTCCTTTCGAGTGTGATGACATGTGGGCAGAAATGTTTGGAATGAACCCTCAGGATGTATCATTCTTCCCGCAGACAGAGTAATGAATATTATACATCCAACCGCAACCCTTTCCATTATGCTTCAGGCCCCCGAATTCCCAGTCAAAGGAACAACAGTCGTCTCGGCATGACTGAACTTTCGAATCCCTTCCTTGACTATCTTCAGTTGCGAAGGACAGTTGGGATCAGGGCAAGCGATAAGTGCATCTGTAGTCATCCAGTCGTTGGGAGACGTCACCCTTTGCTTAGCCGGTAGCAGCGGAAGGACGGATGCTAGTTATTATCAGTATGGCCCAGGTTCTTATCTAGTAACTTTTATCTTACCAAGGCTGTAGATACTGATACCCTGGTCTGGTGGTAGGAAAAGCATCTCGCCCTTCAATGTGAAGTAGTCGCCTTCTTTCGCTCCACACATGATCTTCTTGCCTGGCGGACAAACAACCTCGACTCTCAAGTCATACAGCTCGAAGGAGTCATCATGAGCAGAAACGGTAGTGGAAGTCATGGCTGATAAGAAAATGAACTAGAGAGAAATGTACAATATGGCTTTCGCTTGCATCGATACACGGCGAAATTATAGTTAAGCTTCGGAATGGTCTAGGCCATGAGGCGTCGCTGTTTATTGCCGAACCGGCGAATTTCCCCGCGTCTCTGCACCGGCGTTCTAAAGTGTCACCGGCGACTCAAGCTAAACCCTTGTTTCCCCTCATGATAAACGAGCCATGCATTGCGATAAGCCACTGGAGTCGGTCTCCATCATAAATAATGGAGAAGATCGGCCGACTCAGATAACATGACTTGAGTCACTGAAGCATTGGGACAGCATCCTCGTCTGTCAATGACTATAAACTGCAGCCTCTCCGACTTTTGTTTGAGTCCAAGGTCCTGCTTGATACCCATCTAGCAACATATCATTGATAGCCAGGCGACAATGGATAAGGACGAAAAGATTGTCTGCAGCGACATGCCGGCAGACGTTGAGATGGGCAGCGGAAACACGGAGGTTATTCCCTCCAGCGGCCTTAAGCGAGAGCTTGGATCCCGCCACATTAACATGATTGCTGTTGCTGGCATGATTGTAAGTTTCCTTCTGCTTTAACTCCAACAGAATTGACACTGGTAGGGAACGGGACTCTTCCTCAGCTCTGGCCAAGTCATCGCGACAGCAGGTCCAGTTGGAGCTCTGCTAGCCTATACACTCATGGGTTTCGTGACAGCGGGTGTCGCGTATACCACAGGAGAGATCACGGCATTTATGCCATCGACTGGCGGTTTCGTCCGTCACGCGACCAAGTTCGTCGAGCCTGCACTCGGTGCTGCCACCGGCTGGAACTTCTGTAAGCTGTATCCTACTTACGGCCGACCATTGCGATATTCTGACTCAAGTAGGGTACACTATGGCAATCAACATGCCTGCCGAGATCAGCGCCGCAGCCACGCTCGTTCAGTTTTGGAACACATCCATCAATCCCGGCGTCTGGATCACCATCTTCCTCGTCTTCATCATCGTCGCCAATCTTTGCGGAGCCAAACTCTACGGCGAGTCCGAAGTAGTCTTTGCCTCCCTCAAGATCATGCTCATCATTGGTCTCATCATAGGTGGACTGGTAATTGACCTCGGTGGAGCACCGAATCACGAACGGCTTGGCTTTCGGTACTGGATCCATCCAGGAGCGTTCAATACTTATATCAAAGAAGGCTCAGCTGGGCGGTTTCTTGCGTTCTGGAAAGCAATGCTCCCTGCTGCTTTCAGCTACGGTAATATTCAGGTCGTGGCCATCTCAGGCTCTGAGACAAAAAATCCGAGAAAGCTCATCCCAGCTGCGACAAAGAAGACCTTTTACAGAATATTCTTCTTTTACTTCTGTAGTATTTTCATCGTTGGTCTTATTGTGTGGGTACTTCCCGTGATCCTGAGAGATACCAAGTACTAATGAGGACATTTTAGACCATACAACGACCCCGCCCTTGGCGTCTCTACCGGAACCGCCTCACAGTCTCCATTCGTCATTGCCTTCCAGCGATCAGGCGTATCAGTCGTCCCCTCAATCATCAACGCCGTCGTATGTACCTCGGCCATAAGCAGTGGATCTGCTTGCATCTTCATCGCCTCTCGAACTCTCTTTGGCCTCAGCTGCGACGGTCACGCTCCGCAGTTCTTCCAACGTTGCAACCGATTCGGCACCCCTCACTATGCAGTTGGTATGAGCTGCCTGTTGTCTCCACTGGTGTATCTGACGGTTGTCAATAACACTTCTGTGGTGTTCTCGTGGTTTGTAAACATCACAACTGTTGCTGGCCTCATAGGCTGGGTGGTCATCCAGGCGACCTATCTCCGTTTCTTTGCTGGCCTCAAGAAGCAGGGCTACAGTAGAGAAGGTATGCGCACACAATAATCTTCCTCAAAACCTATCTGACGCATCCAGATCTTCCCTACAAGAGTCCCCTCCAGCCATACGTGGCTTGGGCGACGTTGCTCGTGGTCTCCTTAGTTATCCTGTTTTGTGGTACGTCATATATCTCCCCCATGTCCCCTTTCTCAAAAGCGAATGTTTTGGCTGATTATATCTCAGGGTTTGACGTCTTCGTGAAGGGCCACTTCACTGCTCAAGGATTCATCACATGTTACATAAACATCGCCATCTTTGCTGGTACGTCTGAAATCTCCACTATTGCAGCGACACAAGAGGCTAACAAGGTCGCTTCAGTGCTTTACGCAATATTCAAGATCCGGCTCAGGTCGAAAGTCATACCGACTTCGGAAATTGAGCTCAATGAAGAGTTTCGATCAATTCGAGAGGAGAAGCAGCACGAGGAAGCCGAGCAACAGCACAAATAAATCCATATTCCATTTTTGATACATAGCTACTTCCCATAAACTCAATTTAATTATACCAATATCCAATATGATAGAATCTAGTCCCCAGTCTCGCTAGATTAGATCTGTTCATGCGCCCCTCTCTCCAAAGTCCTTGGGAAGTTCGGGACCCCAAACAGAGAAAGGCCCAACGACGTCTCTGTTAGTCCCCGTTGCCCGATTAACGACATCACCATCAGTGTAATGCTCAATCTTGAAGCCACTAGGATCAGCCCAGTAGTCAAAGATCTGACTGCCCAAGACATGTCGTCCGACTCCCCAGACACTCTTCCAGCCTTTTTTAGCTAAGTACTCATGTCCAAGAAGTTGGGTATCAAAATCTGCCACTTCAAAAGAGGTGTGATGGCAGTATATCTTCTTGACGTGAGGCTCAGCTCGCTGCATGAAGAAGCAGTGATGATCAGAATACTCATCGCCAAGGTCCAGGTGCATGAATGTGAGCACATCCATGTTGGAGAAGTCCCAGTGGTAGAGGATGTCTGAAGGGACGAAGTTGAAGTGGTCGGTGTACCATGCGAGCTCATTGTCGAAGTCGGGAACGACGTAGCCGAAATGGCCAAGCTTGTGGACCAGAGCTGGCCCAGGGTGATAGCGTTGGTACTTTCCTAGGAATAGTCAGCATGTGAAAGTAGACGGTAATAAGCATATGTCACTCACCTCGCCTTGGCTTTGTGAATGGCTTGTTGTATGGTCCCTGCTGCTCATGTGTCGCTGTAGGCTCTTCCGAGTCAACTTTTCTCTCTTCTTGACCATATACAACATGGAAGAATGTGTTATCCTGTCGACTGAACTTGATCATCTTCCCCCCACCAGGCGCATGATCAAGAGATACTCTCTCAGCCCCTTCCAGAGCAGCTGCCTTCTCAAATTCCTCCTTAGAAGCAGCCACGAAAGCTGGCCCGAGGAATCTCTGCTTTCCATCTTTACTCTTGGTCGCGACATAAATGAACGGGTCTATACCATAACCGCGGTAGTAAATGGTATTTCCGATCTGAGCTTCTTTGACAAAGCCAAAGTCGGCTGCAAAGGTGTCGAACGTCTCTAGGTCTGGATGTTCAAAGTAGACGTGAGCGATGCGGGACAGCTGCACCTTGGAGGGGTCGTTGGTGATGGTGGGGATTCGCATGTCAGGCATGATGGCTTCTCGTAAGCACCTGGGCAGTTTGGTAAGAACAGTTAATGCGATTTTTAGTGCCAGCGACATAGTAGAATCCCGAGAGACGAGCTTTCTCCCGTATGTTATAGATTATGGTGTTTATCCTTCAGTGGACTTTATAGAGCCTGCTGGGGTAAGTTCCTTCTGGCTAGAACCTGGGGCAGCAATTGACAGAGGAGACAACCTGGGCGCCTCTCCAAGACAGAGTCCCTCCGTGACCCACTTAAACTGTTGCTGACTTCGGAGGAACGTATGTGAACGTCGGAGGATCTACCATCACCCGACGAGAATAAGCCAGCCCCAGCTCGCAATGGCAAAAAGTTCAATCGGAGAATTGGATTCTGTTATGACACTGTGTCTCATCACTAAAGCTAGGGGGGAGTCCTGCAAGAGTAGGATCCTACGGTCTGGCCGAGGATAAAGTATATATAAAACAGGACTCCAAAGCTAAAAATAGCTAGGCGATAAATCTAGTAGTGATGCCGCTCTGAGAAGACATTGGCTACTTATAGCTGGTATCGCCCTTATAGCGGAACAGGTAGCCTCCTCTCTTTATACTTACAGCTCCTATTGATCTGTAGAATATAAGGTTAAATTACGGAGACTTTTTAAACTAACAATCTTGATACCCTATACTTACAGTTTTAATAATTAGCATAGGAATTTTTAAGACTTATTTCTTAAAGTATTTTATTTATAATAAATATAATATTTATAAGAGTGCTAATACATATAGACTGCCGATTTCCATGTCTGAAAATATCATACCATATCTCTTATTTAATTTCTTATAAGATGATTCGTTTGCGTCTGCATAAGTATATTTATAAATGAGAGGAGGCTCATCTGTCTTGACAATTTCAACAAGGGTAGTAGTAGACTCTGTTATGCTGCATGATACCCGAGATATTTCCATTTCAAAGGCACTTTGACTATCATCCGCAGAGTCCGAGTTCTCAGTGCATGTCTCAGGGCTGTCGTCTAGTGGTGTAGTATATACACTCTGGCTGTCAGAGGTAGAATACGACCACCGCGACTTGGATGGTGGCATAGGGATTGAAGGGTCCACAGAAAGACAGTCATGTGAATCTGCATAGCTACGGTATTCCACGTCGCGAGGGTCATAGACAGTAAACTCGCTCCGTAAAGGCACCTCATTAGCAACCCCTGTGCAATGTGTCTTGAGAGGCGAAGTGTTGATGTCATGCTTGGCAAGGTATGGCCGGTCGTGTAAGCGAGAGGGAGGCCGGAGAGTTTTGCCCGAGAGCCCAGAAAGAGACGCCTGTGTATAAGGAGAGCTACTGCGTGTTACAGCTTGAGAGTCTGCTGAATGACGAGTAGACGTTGGCGACGAAGGATGGTTGGATGATGTGATGGATGACTCTGCTGTGTGGCTACTCCTTTGCTCGCAGAATGAACAGCGGTACGAGCTCCTCCATTGGGCGGCATCCAGGAGGGTTGCAGTGCGGCATATGGACGTCTGCGGCATCATGCAAGCGATCGAGATCTCTGATCAGTGAAGGTGCAAAAAGACGCTGATCTCTCGTGGTTTCACGCGCTAGTATGCGACGTATTGACGAATGGCAAGTATTGAATAACCCAATGGTAGGAGAAAGGAATGTCTTTGATGAAGATTCAAGTATTCGCCTGATTCGGGGATGTGAAAGCTCGTTATTCTTTTGTCGAAACGAGGCTGTAGCGTATTTATCTTTGCAATGAGAGCCTGCCCCTATACTCCATGGGTTTCGAAGTCTACCAACTGTTAATAATTACTGAGATTCTGGCTCAATAACTCAGCTATTGTAATCGAGACCTAGAATCTTAGCTCTTGTGGTCTAGAACCGCAAGGTTTCGAGGTTGGACGATCTACAGCTTGTTCTGAAGTCTGGTCAGTAGATCAAAGCGGCTAGTATCTGAAACACGGCACAGGAGTTTATTGATTGGCCAACTTGTCTTAGCCACACACCATTTTCATAGCAATCGCTTTAGTCTTTCAGCTGAGCTTGCTGTTCTTTAGTCTTAGGTTTATGTAAAATTCTTTATATTATATTTTTCTTTACTTGGCTTAGTATAAGTATAGTATATAACGTCTTTTAAAATAATTCTATATTAAAGATACAATTCTATATATAATATTTAAATACTGATATATTAGTATTTAAGTTATATATTTATAGGGCTCTAGGCCCGAGATGTCCTTAGTGTCACTATATATATATATCATTTGCCCTTAGCTGTCTGCGCATTTATATAGCTTACTATATAGGTTGCCACAATTCCAGACTCCAGGCATGTTAGATTCCGTGTCTTACAAGTGTCTTACATCCCTTTAAAGACGAGGAGGCATACTGTATCGTTGTGTCCCAATGTCTTTACAAGGGTGGCTGCGAACCTGGTTTCATGCAGAAACAAATATTACTAGTACCTGAACTGAGTACGATGTCCTGTGCCCCCGCCCCATTCAGTCACCTGCATTATCCATCTGCAGGAGAGAAATACTAATAGGAGATAGCTACAAGAAAATCTTGGCTGAACAGGGTATGTGGCCATCACGCAACCAAGGGGGAAGCAAGGCACTGTCTTTACTTCCCCGCCGTGGTTTAATACCACCCTAAAATCATGGGTGGCGCGGCTGGTCAAGTTAGCGTCGGAGGATCCACCGTTAGAGCAGGAGTCGGGCGTCGGGCTTGTCCGACCCCAAGAGATAAGTTAATCGGAGAGTCCTACTTGACCGTGATTCCGTACCTTGTGATACATGTGAAATTTGAGCCTCGGTTTTAATGAAACTTACCCCGCGGCAAACTCTCAACCGCGTCGCAACTTCACCTCATGAGCCCCAGTTCTGCATGGCTTATAAGATAGTGAACAATATGATGACGCTTTCTCATGCACCCGGGGTAATTTTACTATGACTGCCTCGTACCAACCTCCTTTTGCCCTCGTCACTGGCTGCAACAGTGGCATCGGTGAGCAACTTGCTATTACTCTTGCCAAGAACAACTACACAGTATTGGCCACAGCTAGGCGCGTTGAGTCTCTCGACAACCTCACAAGACAGCATGCAAATATAATTGCGCTTCCTCTAGAGCTTGGTGACTCCACAAGTATCGAAAGGCTCAGAGACTCGGTCATCAAATACACCAAAGGCCGTCTAGACATTCTCATCAACAATGCGGGGATGCACTACGCAGCGCCAGCTACTGACATTGACGTCAACCAAGTTACTAAATTATTCTCAGTCAATGTTGTAGCGGTCATGCACATGTGCCAGCTCTTCATCCCACTTCTGCAAAAGGCTCCTCGGCCACGCATTGTTCAAATTGGAAGCGTCACCCGTGACGTTCCTGTTGTATGTCAGTCGGTGTATAACGCTTCCAAAGCGGCTCTCAGCCAGTATACCAAGACTCTTCGTGTGGTTAGTTAAAATCGTTGAGCTTTAGTTGAGAATACTTGACTGAATGCAACGCTGATAATGGAGTCTAGGAACTAAGGCCTCTGTCCATCGAAGTCATTGAGGTCGTTACTGGCTATGTCCGCAGTAACATCCTCCGAGACGGTGTTCTCATCTCCGACGACTCACTATATCGACCTATCAAAAGCACCGTCGAGTCTGTAAAGAACGGAGGAAACAAGAATGGCATGCTTGCAGACGAATATGCCCGTGTTGTTGTTCGCCAAATTCTGGGCAACAAATACAAGCGGGAAATATGGGAAGGTCATCGGGCTCGCATATTGCGCCTGATGGTGACATTCTTCCCTGTATGGTTATTAGTATGCGAGTCCTTTCTATACCATGACTGAAGACTAATGTCGTTGGTAGGAGTTTACGCTTTTTGTGACCTTCAAATTACACCTTGTATCGGATCCTAAGCTGAGAGATCGCTAGGGTAAAGGATCTAGATAAATGGCCTCAGTGAATATTGTAACAGTCGTTGAGAGGCCTGACTTTGTGTAATCCTAACCACTGTGGCGTCTGCCTATAGTTACCAATAGCGTAAAGCAGAATACCTTAAGTAACTGAACATCAGCTGTTATCACACCCCAAACTAACCGTGGCTAAATGGGACATGTTGTTCCATTTCTCCCCCACTTGTTGCCCCATGTTGCCCAGCATGCTCAACAAGACACATTCACGATCAAAATGTGGCGTTTTTAGCGTGGTCTGCTAATCAAAAGTCAACACGCAAGATAATATGACCGTGAATAATTTCTCACCTGTAATCACAGTCTTTGGGCCCTCTGAAGCATAGATTGTCACCCCAAACGCTCCATTCGGACTCTGGATATTAAGTTCTGTCTTCTGATTCTATTATTATTATTATTTTTAATTTCTTCCTGCGGTATAGCGCTCTTTCTCAAGACCCATCTTGTACAGGACTCAGCCCTGGATTCACGACGTCATCATGGCTACAGCGCAGGCATTACTGCAACAGAAGCTGACGATCACACCCAAAACAGCTTCTCTCCTCATACAAGCCGGTTACAGCGATTATCGCGAACTCAAATATGCCACGCCGAATAGCATAGTCGAGCAGTTCACGTCCAAATTCGGTATCCCAAAGACATCCGCCTCCGCTTTTCGGCGTGCATGTCGCAGACTGGTCTTTCTTGGAACACAAGATGATCCGGAAGAGCAGGACAAGATTTGCGCAGACTGGACCAACAAAGCTCTGGCCGCTCGTGGAATTTGGAGGGCGGACTTTGATGATCTGACAGGCGAGCAGATTGCAGAGTTGCTTATGGGTACGGCATAATGATCTGTTCCTGGAGGTTTGGGATGCGTCACTTCAAAATCGGATACCGTACTGTTTTGATCACGGCCATATCTTGATCGACAGAATTATTATCTTGAAGATCTTTAGGGTTCAGATACACTATCCTGTACCTTCCAAGCCAATGCCCTTTCTGGCCTTCTGGGCAAGAATTGAATAGTTTGGCCAATATTGCCATCCTGCACCTTAACTTGATATATCTCGTTGACATTCTCAACGCAATTAGAAGGTCTCGATGCTTCCAAGAGATGCATGCCGTCTCTCAGTCCAGCAGTTTCCGCGTTAGAGGCAGGAACAACGCCTGTGATAACCCGAGTGCTTCGGCTGCGTTTGTCGAAACCAAACTCAAGAATCGGGATCTCAACGGGAATGAAGCATATCGAGGGCTTATCGAAAGAGAGCCCTGAAAAGTCCACAAGTTGCTTGCCATTGAGCATATTCCTGAAGTAATCGTCCAAAGAGAAGCCGGAGTTTTCCAATTCGTTGCGGATTTGGTTGAGCCAGTCGCTAGCCCGTACAGTTTCGCCGACTCTCCATCGATGGGAAAGATCTACAACCATCTGATCCAGACGTCCGTTGTATAATAAGTCACATTGCCCATCTTGCTTTCTCATACAGCAGTCAATGAAAAGTAGATAAATGCAACCTCTCTTGTACGGTATCCATTCGGCATACCAATCAGAAAACATCTCTTGACCTGCTTCGCGAATATCCATGCTGATTCTCGGAGAAGAGAAGTATCCCTGAAGATGACGATTGAGGCTCTCAATCAGAAAGGCTTTGCCTCTAAATCCAAAACGGTAGGGTAGACAGGCTGAGTAGAGCTCGGCGATTCCTGGACTACCATTAGCTTGATATGAATAAACTGTTGAGAGATACTACCTTCTCTGAACCAATCGTTGTCATAGCCGTCGTCTTCGGGACTGAGGTCAGAAAAGCTGTGGACCATTTCATGTGTAAAAAGGAGCAAAAGCGAATCATCGGTTTCGTCGGCTACTGACTCATCATACTCTAGCCCGTAGCTACCTATGAAGCCAGTGCCTCCAAATCCGACTTTTGTCTTGCGGATAAAAACACGATAGGACTCCCCTGGAACCCGGAAGTGCTCTGCCATCTTTGGGTAAAGACTTGTATTGTAGGCCTTCAGCCGATCGAGGTTGGGAAGTAGGTCGCCGAACCAGTAGCACGCAGCCAGAATGTCCCCTTTTTGAGCGGCTGAGTCTGGGTAGGAACAGACAGGACCTGTCATGTAGACTGTCCTCCACATTGTATCAGCACGACCAATCACGACGACAGGTTCAGGGCCCTCTCCAAGGCTCCAGACACATCTTGTTGACGGTGGTGTCTCATGTGGCAAGACCCATTCGACAGTGTTTTTGTGAACACGATCAGATATCAGAAGGGGCAGAAACCAACGGCCAACGCCCTGGAGGCCGCCTTGATCCCTGCGGAGATCCACACGGGCCCCCAATGGAGTCTTCTCCGAGACTGTGCGGGGAAAGGCATCAAATCTCAAAGTGACATGACCTTTGGTTTGTCGAGTTGGGCACCATTGCTGCTGTGTGTCACGGTTCAGCCTCGGAATGTCGCGGAAGGCAAGTGGCAGAGGTCCGTCATCATCTGCAGCGTGGATGTCGCTCTCGCAGTACGGATGTCCAGGGACGTTATCCATAAAGGTGTCAAACAAAAACATAGGCTGACCATCTTGAACAGAGGGATTCTCTATCTCGAGATGCACGGAGAGTGCGCTGACGCCTTCTTTATCAAAATGGGGAGCCAAGCGGAGATAGATTGAGGGATTTTTGGAGCGCGCCATGTTGTGAAGATTTGAGATTGAACATATGTACGACTCTATGAGGTTGGCTTCCTGGGTACTTATACTCCGTAATACAAGATCGATTGATTATGTCTGAGCCTATTACTTAGATCAGTCACGGCTAGATTCGTCACGAAACCAGTAGACTATACCGAAAGCGGTGGGCGAGAACGAGCAAATCGACTAAGAAACCCCACACCCCATCAATCTTACACTAAGATGCCGTGATAACAGAGTCGGGGCCACGTCTCCACTACCTGACTTGCTTTCTCAAGCACCATCACGGCAAATGCTCACGCAGCCTAAAGCTTAACCTTATAGGCCGCTGTCATCCATAGCTCACGCAGCCGTGTAACTCATCAGAACAGAGCGTAAAATCCTTTCGCTATCAATGCCCATGTACCGGCCAGCCCCCCCTCGAACCAAGAGGACTGGAATATGCCGTTCACGCGATGGCTGCTACACTTGTCGTCGTAAGCACCGCAAGGTACGTAATACACCTCATTACTATCCCAAGCCCCCACGGGAGCGTGGTGAAATCGAACTGATGCATTCTTCCCGGTCACAGTGCGATCTGACCAAACCTTCGTGCTCCAACTGCACGCGTAACGGCTTGGATTGCGATGGTTATACCCTGCGGCTCACATGGCTGCCTGCCTCAGTCGGCATTGGGGATAATCCACAACGGCCAAAGCGGACAGCTTCGCCGAAGAAGAACAGATTACCACTCTCGAGAGAGCCGATTCCTGCCACATCCGTTTCTTACCTGAGAGAGCCGGATCGTTGGCTTGAAGCTTTGACCGATGACGGCGCGAATGCAGATGATGCTCACTTGCAGCAGCTTTTAATACACGCTGCGGACCATCAAGAGTCATCGAGAGGCTTTTTACTACTCGACCATGAAACATATCTACTAAATCATTTCAATCGTTGTGTGCGTGGACATTTGTTGCACCTCATGGGTAATTGGCTGACTGACCTGTCATATCACCCCTATCTCGAACCTGCATTGATGGCCATCTCAGCTTCCAATTTATTCCAACAGAGTGTCTTCCGCCGCGATCCTACATTATCCGCGTGCCATATCAAGGAGAAGCATACCGATAAAATGACACAGTCATGCTTTCGTCTCGCCATCAATTACTATAACGATGCCATCCGAATGATAAGCGACACAACCTCCACTGGCAACAAATCCCCCCAGCTGAATCTTGCAGTAACTCTTTTACTAGTTCTTTTCGAATGGGAGTCTGGGAGTGTTCACGGCAGCTTCGTCCATATGGATGGTGCTGATGCCATTGTCATATCTTCCTTTGAAGAGCTGTGCCAAACATCGACAGGGCGTCTTCTTCTTAAGAGTTGGGCCGACATGCGGGCGCGCAAAAACAGACAGAAACTTGCATTTAGGCCCCTGGAGATCGAACTTAGTAGAGCTTCGGATACCCGGGACAGAGTCTTGATGTCTCATGCTCTGCAATCTTCTTCGGGTGTCGCATCTGCCCTTACAAATGCGATTTCGATGAGGGATCGGCTTGTCTTACACATGTGCGTGGCTTGTGATGAGATAGATGAGAGTCTTGTACTAAGTCACTTCCGCAAATGGTACTCGCATGCCTTTGACTTCAATTATACAGCGGAGCTCTCTTCTGAGGCTGGATGTGTCCTCACTACCAAGGAGTTGATGGACGGTCTTGATGCTACTAAGCAGGTACTTCACGGGTGGCGTAACGGTCTTGACAAATCACAGCTCCCATTTCTACAAGCATCTTCCCCTTCGGCACTCGATCACGTCTTTGAGGACCGACTGGTCTTGGTTGGAGATGTGGCACCGCTGCAGTTTCGCACTCCTGAAGCCGCGTTCAATTATCTACGTTATGCCGTCAGCTTAGTTATCACATCGTCGCAAGTCCTGAGTATGTACGTTCTTGCCACGCGACCTAGAGCGCTCAGAACACATATTCCCGTCGTTGTCGCTCACCTGCTTTCGGTGATCGAAGGACTAGACCCAATGCAGCTTATCCGCTACGACGTGTATGACAGTGGGCCTCTCTGGGTTCTGGTGACTTTGGCGCTATGTGTGCCAGAGTCTCACGTTGTGTCGTGGATCCTTGAGACGATCCTGCCAAGACATGAGAAGTATTCGCATCGTGGATCGATGCTGGTGAATTTCATAAATACGAGAGAGATGCTGTTGTGTATACAGTCGCAGTTACAGAAGGGCATTTTACCACTACTATGCTCCTCAAGTTCTTTGATCACAGAAGACCTTATTTCCAGCCCAGTAGCACGATTTGGGCAGAAGTTTGTTATTATAGGCCGGAACACTTCTGGGTCTTTTAGTCGCATAGTTGCTTCGGCTTGATACTAGCCTTTAGTTATAATTATAGCAGCGACTCAAGGATTTATGGATACCTCCGACTTACTAATTTACGCTGGTGCTATACGCTAGGGTGTCATAGGGAACTTGTGATTGACTCTAGAGTGCACTGACTCAATTATATGAAGAGCGTTCATCCAGGCGCATTTACTCATGCTCATCTGAGGTTTTAGCTGATCAGAGTGGTTGCATGACTGGTCCTCTATTCAAAGCTTGCCCGCTTATCTGACCAAAAAACAATTGAAGAAGGGGGATGGAGTTGTTTATGAAGTTTATTTCCTGGGAATATCATACTGACACCATGTTATAATAAATGACTAGACTGAGGTGGCACGCAGAGCATGTGTAAGTTCCAAGAACATATGATGCAAATTTCAGGGTGGAGTATCCTGTGCATTAGAGGTTCTTCATAGCGGCTACCCAGTATTTCTAGATGCTGTTAGTCATGGAACTGTATCTCTTAAGTGATAATAAAATTCGCTTCCATGAGAGGTGTGAACTTACAGTCTCGGCGCCTGCTCCAACAGAGCGGACCTTTGAAGCCAACCATCCACCACCGGGAGCAGACTCCACATCAAATCGAGCCTCGTCGTCACTGAGATCCTCATTAAACATGATCATGTTCGGTAACTCTGGATATTTCACAGCTGGCCTCCCAAGTCCAATGAGATCGCAGGCGTTGTTACCCAGAGCTTTAGCAACACCGTTTCGGCTTCTGAACCCGCCAGTGACAAGAAGCGTAAGACCAGGGAACCTTCGACGAATCTCTTCGCTCGTTCGGAGGAAGAAACCCTCACGAATACTCGAACGAGACCTGGTAGAACTTGGCGTCAGGGAAGAATTGGTGCTCATCATCTGAGGGTCTTCGAAAGATCCGCCACTGAGATTGATGTAATCAATTTCCTCCTGCTGAATCAACTCGATATGCCGTAGCATTTGAGTCATACCCTCATCGTCTTTAAAGTCTGCGGAATTGATCTTTACACCGACACAGAATGTCTTAGGGACTTCTCTTCGAATGGATCGGATAATGCGGAGAACTAGTTCAACGCGCTTGTCTGTCGAGCCTCCGAATTCATCATCTCGCTGGTTGCTGTTGGGCGACATGAACTGAGAGAGCAGAAACCCGTCTATGAGAACGAGTTAGTAAACAACACATGCTTCACTCATATGCCCTATGACTCACGGGCTGCATGAACTTCAACGCCTTGAAAGCCAGCTTGGCAAGCCAGTTGCGCAGCTTGAGTGAACTGCGCGATGACAACGTCGATGTCATACTGTGTCATGGCCTTTGGAGTACCAAACACCAACATACGGATTAGCTTGGCAACGGTGTTGTCTCCAAGGTTGATGGGAATAGCACTGGGAGCAATTGTCTTTGAGAAAATGCTTCTCTTTCCAGCTCCAATTGGCGATTGTCGTCCTGGATGGTTTCTAGCACAGTGACGCAATTAGTCACGACGTGTCTTAGACTTCATTTTGGGTGCTGGGCTTACAATTGAGCAATCATATGACAGTTCTGGTTCTTGGCAACGGCTGTCCATTCCGACCAGCTCTTCAGCAAGTTCGATGCGGTCCCGGTAACTGCGACATCTTCGTTGCTGCCAAGGTACTTGTCTGAAACCATGATATTGCCTATACATCGTCAGCACAAAGTTCTTTACGTGTAGATCAAGCTCTTCGCTGAAATGTACCTGTTATTAGAGCTGCCCATCCTCCTTCAGTCCATCGCTTATACAATGCTCTGTGTTTCGCAGATGGCAATAAGTTATGGGCCATCTTTTCCGACATTGCAGTCTTGACAAGCCTATTCTTAAGGACCAGTCCACATCGTAGTTGAAGCTGAGAGTTGGCTGCGATGTTCATTGTTAAAATTGTTCGCAAATGTGTTATTCGCAGTTAAGACCTGTAGCTGACCCCGCTCTAGTAAGATAAACGATTCAGCAACCAATTTTCAGTCAACACAGCACATTAACGTGGAAAACTTGTTCAAATAGTCCGTGGTAGTGGGGTTTCTTGTGAAATCTTGATCAGACTTGCCTAAAAGCAAGAATTAAATTATTTCTTATTAGTAGCATTTATCTATTTACCGACTCTTTATCTTTTATCGCTATAACTAAACATCACGAGATGTAAAGATTGGCTTCGGAGGAACTCTAGGGTGAATCAGAACCCCGAATCCTCCGAGGCTAAGATCAGTCGAGTCATGATCAGACCCCACATTCGCTTCCTCGTGTTAGTCCCACTCGGGGTTTCGGCCGGGAACAAAACTCAACAAGGGTCATTCCCATTCCACAACCCTTCGGCCGCCTTCACGTGCAACACTTTTCAAAAAATAGACATAATATTTAGCTTAGCTATAGCCAAACAGTTTTGAATCTTCACCATAACCGTTTTGTCCTCTTCTTGGCCGTGTGCTCAGCCCTCTCCCCTGAAACACCACCTGCGACGTCTCTCCCCCAAAACACATTCCCCGACAATTCATTGGCTCTTTGACAAAAAGACCTCCACAGATCTCGGAACTTGACGACGCAGAGATACGATTGGCTCCTCAGAAGATAGACGAGGTCTTGGAATCGGTTACAAACGTGCCGCTCTCGCCGACCTGTTTGCCGATCATGGCCCGTGTCCGTAGCTCAGAAGCAGTTTCTGTGTTTTAAGTGCAAGCGTTTTATGGTTAATGAGCAAATCGCAGTTTAGCAATGGCCTGTTTGACGTTTTGTTTGACAGAGTGGCTGTGTTCTTCGGGAGACGAGGATTCCGGGTCTTGGCTGGGCGGGAAAGGGTCAAAGCGTACGTGAAGAAGCCGTGCGGTGCGTGATATGTTTGTCTGGTGATGTTTTACAGATTTTGAGGTTGCTATCGTGAAGCTGTTGAATGTCTCGAGACTGTCTTGTGTTTTACATGGCTGCTTTTTTGGTGGTGATATATGTGTTTGTTAAGATGGCCGTAAGAGGAAACAGACTCGTTGACTTTTCTATATAAGTTTGATCATCTTCCTCTCAATGAGTCTAATCATCAGAATCAACAATCAGCATCAGCATCATCTACTTCCCTTCTAATCACTTCTCTCCTGCCGGTCAGGTCTCTTTTTCCAGTGTCTTTGACTAGTTCAATTTCATATCTTGCCCATCTTTCTTCTCAGTCTACATCACAATAATCTCACAATCTCAAAATGGCTCCCATCAAGAACCTCCTCATGGCCCTTTTCGTCGCTGCCGATCTCGCAGCAGTCTCAGCCCACAGTGTCATCACCAACGCCGTCGGCGATGCTGGTGGCTCTGGCATGGCTCTTGGAGTCGATACCTCAACTCCTCGAGACGGAACTCGAAGACGCCCTTTCCAGCAAGATGCAACCCGCTTCCGAGGCCAATCCGCTGATACTGTCGGCGAAACCTTGTCTGCCGGTGATAACGACATCGAGCAGGGAACTTTGGATATCATGGAAGAGACAGGTAAGCTATGCCTACTGACGCTGATAATGATTTCACATACTAACACCTAAGTCAGGAAGCGAGCTCCCTCAGGTGAACCCCGGTGGCAGCCTCGAGATGACGGTTCATCAAGTCAACTCAGACGGTGCTGGTCCATACACCTGCATGATCAATGCCGACGGCACCGGTACATCTTGGGATAACATCGAGGTGACGACTAATGTCGCGGGTAATGAGCGGGGTCGCAACCGGGACGGCGAGATGGGAGACTTCCCTCTCGTTGCTTCCATTCCTGCTAATCAAAACTGTACTGGAACCGTCGCAGGCGAGGACAACGTATGTCTTGTCCGCTGTCAGAACCCGGCTCGTGCTGGCCCGTTTGGCGGTGTGATTCCAGTCCAGATGGTGAGCGGCAATGGCGGCAATGCTGGAAATGCTACTGAGACTGGAAACACGGGCAACGCTGGTACCGGCAACGCCAATGACAACACCAACGATACTACTAAGGATACCACTAACGATACCACTGATGATACCACCGCCGGCGGTGCCAATGGCAACGCAAGCAACAACAACAATGGTAATGCAAACAACAGCAACGCCAACGGTAATGACAACGATGATGAGGAGGAGGATGAGGATGAGAACGACTCTAGTGCTCGCAACAACCGTCGTGCCACCCGCTTTTCTGCCTAAAAGATGAGATGATAATGATTGAGAATGCAAACTTGGAAACGGAAGACTGGATCACCGACACACGGGAATGGACAGGAGGAAGTATAGATATCGGATATCTACATAGTATATTAGGAAGGGCGATAGTATAATAAGATTTTGCTGATGAACCTTTGTTCTTCTTTTCTGGTTGGTGATTGAAAGGCTTGGTCGATTGGCATATATGAAATAAGATGGCTTTAGAGACTGACTTAGGACGATGACCCCGCGCAGCTAGCCAATAGAGTAGTGTTATTTGCGGTTGAGGCTTGCGGCTCAGACCTGAATCAGCACAGAGAACTTAGCTAGCCAATAGGAGCTGGGGAAGGTTAGCTGAAATTTGGTAGTGAGCTTGATGAATGTATGCGGTATATATTACAAATGTTGCCCATTACTCTTTAGATTCCTTTTACATACTCACAAGTCTCCAAATTGATGTTGTCAACCATCTTCCAGCAACACCATCATGTCTTCAACAGGCGCAACTACACCTGCTTGGGAGCAGAAACTCCGTGATGATATGGCGCTCTCTGTTTCAAGCCTCGACATGACATCGTCGCACTCTTAAGACGCGATGGAAACCGCTCCATTCGCGGCGGCAATGCGTAGCGATCATTATCCACCACCAGATAGTGTCAGGAATCAGCTTACTAGCATCAATGTAGCCAGTGTCTATCACATCCAGACTGCTACCGGAACATGCATCGAAACCATCCGAGGCCTGAAGGACACGCAGCCCGATAGAGACATCTGGAATGCTACAATAAGCGGTGCTTGTGAGACCGCTATCCGAAGCTTCTCCGACCGATTTGACAATGCTGCGGATGAGGCCGTCCAATTGATCGAAGCCCTCCCTCCTGCACAGCAAAGTGGAGCCGCCAATTTCATGAGCCAGAGCATGGGCATAGTCAACAGGGTCGTCAATCAGGCATCATCTGGATTTTCGAGTATTGATAGGCGCTCCATCAAGGACTTCCTGGCGGGGAACTGGAATAGGCTTACAGAAGTGGATAACGATGTCAAGGCCGCGTGCAGCTACGCTATAAATGCTCTGAATGCTGTGTTTTAGTTAGGGGTTTCTTCGATTTCCGCCTCTGCTATGCAATGCAATGCAAGGATATCACAACCCAGGCTGCCTAATAGAATGACGATTTGAGGGTATCGCTGATCCGGGACAGTCTTAAACTAACAAATGATATAAAGTAAAAGTGTATTAAGAAGTCAATATTGAAAACTGAGATTTAATTCTTTATTAGAATAAGCTGCTTCATAATTCAAGTTAGGCTGAGCTTCAAGATATAGTGTTTTCTAGTCTGGTTAGCCTGATGCTTTCTTTAATTAGATAATAAAAGAGTTGTTCAGGTACTTACTGGATCTTGGTAAGCCTTGGCAGTGTATTCTGCTTCTCTCTTCCTAATGATTTTCTTTGGAAGACCGGCGCTTTCCACTATGATCTGCACCTCACAAGATCGCTCTAGGAGTGTAAACAGATAACCTGCTTCATTAACAGTGGATCTAGTAGTGAGGAGACTATGATTTTGCAAAATCGCAATACGGTTCCTCTTGCCTAGTGCCGCGGCAATTCTCTGCCCCTTGTCGCGCTCTAGAACAATACCTCCAAAGTTTTCATAAATAGCCTGTATACTAAGAAAGGTACAGGCGTCTTGGTTGATGATGTCGAGAGGGCGGCTAAAAGTTGACCAAGCTTTTCCAGCGGGAGAATGTGTGTGACAAATAGCATTGATATTAGACCGAGCTTTATGAATGGCTCCATGTATTTGAAATCCAGCTTTATTGACTGCGACGCGATTTCCACCAATGACATGGCCATCCTCGTTGATCTGTACTATGTCGCTTGCTTTAAGTAAGCCAAAGTATATGCCAAGACTAAGCAAAGGTTAAAATCATAGTCTAGGCATAAGGGAAGAAAGGTACACTTACAGGTTAATCTAAAAGGTATCTGGTTCCACGGGGTCGCGAACACTAATATGCCTAGCGGTTCCTTCTGTAAAGCCTTTGCGTGCAAATACTCTTAACACAGCAGCCATATGCTCTAATTGCTACTGTCGCTTTATGTAAGGGCCTTGGAACTCGGGCATAGTTGGGGCCGGATACCCCCCAGTGGCGCAGACCTGCTCGGGCGTCTCCTCCATTTGTGCGGGAGGTTGTGGTTCTGCAGTGGCATGATGATCGCCCTCGAGGCTTACGGCTCGGACAGTGGTTGTGACAGACATGATGGCGTTGCGTATTATCTCAAATTAAGCAGAGGCCTATGTACAAAAAGACATTCGGATGAGTTATGCATTGATATACGCGTGTGACTACCGATTGTCTACGATCTGAGCGACATGCTCTCCATATTTGCGCCCGTTGACTTATCACGTTGCGCCCAGCGAATTAACCCAATGGAGTAAAATGATACGACCTTACCGATGTGGTCGTGGATTCCATAACCTAGAACGTACTAGGGGAATTCTTATACTGGCGATAGCCTCTCCACTTCTAGATTAGCTATCAACATCTGTACCATTCATAACTCTTTTCATACATAGCCAATCCATCGTTCTGCTCAAGAGGCACAAGCGTAAAACGAGATATATATACCAGTGCAGTTTCAGTGGACCTAAGTCGTGAATATTCCCTCGATTCAGCTATCCTACTTTCAAATTCAACATTATTTACATGTCAAAGATGGTTTCTATCTTACAGCAAGATGACCCCAAGAAGGTCGCCCTCGACACCTCGGGAGTAGTGAATGCATGCGACACGAGTTCAATCCAAAGAGCTTCCATCTACATGACCGACGAGCAAACCAAACGTGGGCTATCTCCACGACACGTGCAGCTAATGGCTATTGCAGGTAGCATTGGCACTGCGCTATTCGTCGGCATTGGTGGTGTGCTGTCTAAAGCCGGCCCTCTTTCCTTATCACTTGGGTATCTATTTTGGAGCCTGTTCTTTATCCTACCATGCACACTCAGCGTTGCAGAGATGTGCGCATATCTTCCAATCCGGGGAAGTATCTTTGAGCTCGCCAGCCGCTTCGTCGATCCTGCTCTTGGCTTCTCGATGGGCTGGACGTACTTTTACGGTGGTGTCATGCTTGTTTGTGTGGAATATAGTGCTGTGGCCACCGTGATGCAGTATTGTATGTAAAACCCTTTCACCCCAAGTCAACTGTTCGTTCGTTGTTCTTCTGACCTTTGTAATGTTAGGGAATACTTCTATCAACGCAGGTGTATGGGTTGCTATGGCTCTGGTCGTCTGCTTCCTGCTGAATGTGATTGCCGTCAAGTGGTATGGAGAGTCTGAGTTTGTTATGGCATCAACAAAAGTCATTTTGATCATCGGCCTCATTTTGCTTACTTTCATCACCATGTGTAGTGGGAATCCTCGAGGTGACGCTTACGGTTTTCGATACTGGGGCAATGGGAACGCCATGCACGCCTATTATACTGATGGAGCAGCTGGTAGATTTCTCGGATTCTGGTAAGCTACATGAGCCAACCTCAACCATCTTTACTCGCGCGAGTGTTGACTTCTTGAATCCAGGTCTGTAGTGATTTACGCTGCATTCACGATCGGCGGCCCCGACCTGATCTGCCTCACGGCTGGCGAAATCCAGAATCCCAGGAAAACTATACCTCGAGTCGCTCGCTTAATATTCTATCGACTGGCATTCTTCTATGTTGTTGGAGTATTTGCCGTCGGAATTATCTGCTCAAGCCGTGATGAGCGTTTACTGAATGCTATAGGCAACGGGGATGCCGGAGCAGCAGCTTCGCCCTGGGTTATCGGCATCCAGAACCTCGGTATACATGGTTTACCTGATGTGATCAATGCTGTCATATTACTTTCCGGCTGGTGAGTATACATACTATGAATGGAATCCTTCATGAATATGCTGACTATATGCCCCAGGTCCTGCGGGAACGCGTACCTGTACTCTACGTCTCGCTCCTTGTACGGGCTTGCTCGCGGTACGTCCATTTTGAAAATTAAGATGTAGCCGTATGCTAATAATAGCTTAGATGGACTCGCTCCCAAGGTATTTGCGAAATGCACCAAGTCAGGTGTACCTATCTACTCAGTTGTAACTGTCACTTTACTCTCTTGCCTCTCATTCCTCGTCGTTTCAAACTCGTCTGTTACTGTTTTCTACTGGGTAATTTGCGTCTCCCAATTCTCTCCACAGTTGGTATTCTGACACCACTTAATAGTTCGTTGATCTTACCACGGGTGGATTTGTCTATGTCTACACTTGCATGCTCTTGACATTCATCGGGTGGCATCGCGCCTTGAAGGCTCAGCCAGACGCAGTCCCGCTATCTTCATTGCCGTACTTATCACCGTTCAGACCATATGGTGCTTACTTTGCTTTTTTCTTGGGTTGCATATTTCTTCTCTTCATTGGCTGGGACACATTTTCGCCCTTTGATGTTGAAGGTTGGATAACTTACTACTTCGCTACCATATTTGGCCCGTTGATGTTTGTTGTCGGAAAGCTCTTTAAGAAAACAAGATGGGTGAAGCCTTCTCAAGCAGACCTTGTCACTGGAAAGGCCGAAGTTGATGAAGAATGCAAAGTATGGGAAGATCCTGCTGCGATTGAGAAGGAGAGACTACGCTTGCAACAGATGAACTGGCTTCGAAGATTCTGGGAGCGACTTTGGTAAATTTACGCCTGGGATAATTCACTATCTTGTTTATCCACAATGTACCTAAGTGAGCGGGGCACGTTTTTAGCCTCTTATATCTAAGTCGGTGATCGAATAACAACCAGGTCTTCTGAGACAAATAGTTGCTGCAAGTTTGAATCGTACGGCGTCAAGATCGATAGTTATTCTTCTGCCGGAGATGTAGCCTCTGCTCCTTGACCTCGTAATACTAGAAGCTCACCGGTAGCTCCATGCAGTCTTCGAGGGCTTGAAGAGCAAGAAGGGGATATGCCTTAGTACTTCATTGTGGGATAATTGGCAGTAAGATCTTGGTCGGGGGGAACATACGTGCCCGGCTTGTTTCTTGTGTACACCATACTCATTTCTGTACTATTCAACAAGATTTAAACTCAGATGTCCTTTCCAAGCTACTTGGCGATAAAGCCTTCTCAGCCCAGCATGACTGATGTGGGTTAATATGCTTCTCTTTTCTTGCTTTGTGCACATATCAACTTACCTTGCCAACCCCAGTCCTTCATGACATTCATCCAATGTATTTCGCGCTTCGTTGTCGAGGATGAACGGCTAGAGGAAGCCAGGTCAACATGAGTGGCCTTAAATGACTTGTCATGTCTTTTCCAAGCCTCTGCTGTAATTTCCAAACATCTGTTGACAAGTCCCGAGGTAAGTCGAGAACCCAAAACTCCCCACCTTTCAGACACCCAGTTCCGATCCTCAATGTCGGTAGCCTCGCAACCCGCAATCATCAGCGGCATCACGGGAAATATAGCTGCATGAGCGTCTTCCGGTACAGTCGCTATAAGGTTCAGGACCTTTCGGGCCATGTCCTGTAACGGAATTTGTGTCGGAAGCTCCGGCACCGCTTGGTGAAGAAGCAGCAAGGTTGCCCACTTATACGCATTAGCTGTTTGTATCAGATCAATCACGCTTGAACATAGCTGAGCCTCCTGGGTCTCCTCATCCAGTTCTGTGCAGGGTTCCCATCGCTCAATTGAAGTTTTGAGACGGACTGCCGCGGAGACAACCGCTGGCGAGTTAAGCTTTTCCTGGCTTCGCTGAACCCGATTCACAAGATCAGCTACGCCACCAAGAAGAGGGAACAGTGGCCCAGCGCATCCCATGAGAGGATCTACCGTGGAGCCCAAAGATGTGGAGCTGAATAAGCTGCAATCCGACATGAGCGGTAAGTCCATGATGTTTCCGTCATGACATGTAACGCGCGTTATGGTATCCATATATATCCAGGTATTTGAGAGAAAGCCTAAGCCAATCAGCTCACTCCTGGGACGCTGAGAAGACTGATGTTCTATTAGTGCCTTTCGAAGAAGCTCGGCTCCTTTCCTTATGTAACTCGTGGTCGTAGAAGATCGAGGGTAGCACCAGGCTTGAGCTAGGCTCACGGCCAGCGTCGTACTAATAGTTGCCTCGGGCTTGCAATCGCTAGATTCCATGACTGTGAGCTGTTGGACTGCATGGCTGAGATGTCTTAGTCCTATGGCTCGATGTTGAGGGAGATTATTGAATCCCTGAAAGCATGTCATGGCCGCGATTGCATGATAAAGCGCAGTGTGCTCCTTAGCCATGGGCCAGACGATCTTTCGCCAAGGATTCCCGGTTGAGCTGTCCTTGATGCATAAAACCTCGCATATGCGACGATCAAAGAGAACAGAAATGTTCTCTGGAGAGTCACTATGGAGTTGGGGAACCCTGTAAACAGGCGACCTGACATGACTCCTTGGACTTGACGGAGAGTGCCCATCATCTTCACTACCTGTTTCCCCAAACTCAACGTCTCTACAAAGGTCCGGAAATTCTGTTGTTCCTTCAACAAGATGTGAAGGATTTGTACGCAGAAATACTGATAGGGAGATGTCATCATCTTCTAAGTTGACACATGGAAGTTGTGACTGCTCAGTGTCAAGCGGCCCCGTTATAATGCCCCCAGGCTCTGTTGGGCAATCTGGCTGTGAGATATCGTGATGGACTGGTTGCGCATCGAAGGAATCAGGACCGGCAAGAATGTGGTAAAGGTCATCCAGGTCTTCGGTTATATCAAAGGCCATCTCCAATGAAAGATCATCAAAGTTGGTTCCATAGTCGACAAACTCGCATCGAGACCCTTGTTCAACAGGAGTCTGGGCTGTATGAGATTGCGGGATGAAAGGATCTCGGGACGGAAATTCGGATTGAATGAGTAGACCGCTCAGTACGCCATGATCATCAGAATCACGTCTGATGGGGAGCTCGGCTTCATCTAAATGGGAAGCTCGCAATTCGATATCAGGCTGGTCCAACCTGGGTCGCCGTCTCCTGCCATCTAAATTAAAGCTTTAGCATCATAACATGCCCCTGGAAAGGATCGGGTTGGCTACTATTCCCTGACGACATACTGCCTGCCTCGGGCTTTTCGAATTCTCTCCACCTAAACTCTGCGTGATAGCCCCCGCATGCCGTTTTCCGGCGAAGGCATTGGGAGCAAGAAGGCTTTTTCTCATCGCATTTTCTTCGTCTTGCTTTGCACGTAACGCATCCTGGATTGAGATTAGCTCTTTCCTCTATCTAGCCTTATCGCCTTTCCAGATGAGTTTTTGCACAACCATTTCGGCTTTTCTTGTTTGGTGCTCGTTTTTGTGGCGCTGTATGTACCTGCTTTCCTGGGGAAGCTGGTAATAGAAGACGTAGCTGATATATCTCGGGAGGTGTCATGTCTAAATTTTTGCGGGCACTTAAGACATGTCTGGATAGGTATTTGCTTCACGTAGAGTCGGTCGTTCTAGTGGCTTGCGTGGTGTATCAGGATTAGATGCTGTGCAATGTTTAAATTGTTTTAGAGGACATGATAACTGTGACGAAGTAGACCAGACGAGAGAGTAGATAAGAAGGCGGGGAAATCTGGGTCCTGTCCACAACAGGTCAACATGGGCTGGAGAGGCCTTTTCTAGACTAGCCTGGATCTTCTATCACCTACCAGACATGATCGGTATGGTAAGCATCAAACCAATCAGATGCAATCATTAGCTAGGTGTACGTTCAGGCCCCCAGAGGCGTATCTCCTGTTCCAGAATCTCCATCATTTGGATACAGTATTTCTTTACTATACTGGTTGAAATAGGCCTCATCGTAGGTATTTATTCACAGACAAAAGGTTTCCGCCACTACGGTTACTTGAGTAGCAATCAAGTTGTAAATAAAAGGATGTTAATTGTATCCATGCGCTATTGAAGTCTTGTAGGGACAGTGCTAGATGATCCCTTCCGTAACTGGTACCAGGCTTGAATCCAACACTTTCTGCTTGTTGTTTGCTGTGGTTTCCTTGTTGAACTCGGCCAGACACATTTCAAAAACCCGTTTCTGATAATCTAATACCCAAAACATCAGTACTGACAATAGCATTTGGGGTCTCAATATGTCACACTTACGGATCACGCCATTTTCTTTATTTGGATTCAATATGCCCTCAGTATAAATCCCCATCTTCAGGTTCATCTGAGCCATTTCGCAAAGATCGTTATCCTCGGTTGCGACACTCCGGGCGAATTTGTAATAATTCTCAAAATCCTGCGTTTCGACAGGTGACTTGTGATAGTAGTCAAACTGCATGATTGTTTGAGACGGATCGTCTGTCGGCCAGGTTCGGAACGACGAGATACCACCACCATACAAATTCAATGTAGAGTTGGGAAAGAAGTAAAGAAAAAGACCATCACTCGGGCTGTCGTGTTTACCTGCTTCAGCTAGATGACGTGAGAAGTACTTCTCGTTGAGAACTTTGTATGTAGTCGGCGCGTAAATCTTGGAGAATGATGGGTGCGCAAAGGAGCAGTGAAGGCACTCTTGGAACCCATCAATAAGGGTCTTCCAATTATACTTTCCGATGTATTTGAGGCTTCTTCTGAAAGGAAATGTGGTGAAGTCAACTGTCGCAATGAGATCTTCGAGACCAGGAAAGTACTCGTCGAACTCGGGTGTCGAACTAGAGAAAGTTATAAAGAGGAGGCCGGTCCGGGTGATATGTTGACGCATTTGAGTGCCCTGAGAGTGTCAGAATTCAACTTCGGCCTATAGCAGCGATTTCGTACGTCACTTGTAAAGACTTGAATGCTGTTCCAGTCTTGTGACTCACGTCGAATGGTGAATTTGAACTGCCCCATGTCATAGAAACAGTCCTCGCCGTCAGCGGACCATCGTGTGATAACACCGAGATAGATCCAGGTCTAGAGCATATCAGTTGCTGCCCCAATAGATTACCAACATACCATCATACCTTGTCGAATATAGCACGCCTTTCTAAGCCAGCAATGGCCTTACTGGTGTACCATGAGGCAGGGAGTGTGTTTGGACAAGACATTTTCAATCGACAACAATGATATGGTGCATAAGTTGATGTACTCCTAAGGCCTTTGAGGTGATAAGACTCTGATACGTGGACTTCGGTATGGTTAGGTATGCATCTATATCTCGATAAATTGAGTGTATGTGTCATATTCATGGTCTTTCATTTAGTCACAGCTCTGCTAACCTCCTTAGGCAGCGGATCGTGTTCTCTACCTCTATTGGGAAAAGCGATCCGATGCTACTGACCAATAACATGTCCGAACCTCAACTCCCTCAGCTCCTACCTAGCCGATCCCGCCTTGATCTGTGATTTTTCTCTACACACCATAATATAGACAAAGTGTTAGTCATGTCTTGTCGTTATTGCTATCCTGCTTGTACCATAGCAATATCCCTTCTACTGTTACTCTTTAGCATAGGCTGAGTTCTTGTGTCCTATTCACGATTGAGATAGAACCTCAAATATCCTACTAATTTGAAGGCGGGGAGCTAAATGTTATTGCTGCCTTGGGTCTTGAGGCCATCTTGAGGGCCAAAGCCACAGCTGTATTGCGTTTAAACTACGAAACTGTCAGGGCGAATGGGCACAAAATTAGCTCATGTGACCATGATGAGAAACATTAGACATTTTCTGACTACCCACGGCGGTCCTGTAGTCATAGGCAATATTCCTGTCTTTAAATGACTAGCTCTGTTATCGCATCACCATTACTACTGAAAGTATACCTTGCTTTGGGCCAAGCATGGCGGATTTAAATTCGCCTACAGTTTCACCAGGCATCACAATCATTGTCCTCATTCGGGGTATATTAAGTATCGAGAGGGATTACATCTTCCTATCTACCATCCCAGATCCCCAGACTTCTCCAGCCCTTCTAAGGCCATGCATACTGTAGAGATATGTCAGTTATGTCCATTTTTATACAGTAGTAAGAAGCTTAGTGATATTTAACTTACTTCCTTCGGCTTTTGCATAGCCATCACTTCGACACTGATTAACTGCTGCTGGCTTGATCTCTGCCCCTTCGCTCTTTTCTCTTTTGGCGTGTTTATCCACTATATCAGCCAACAAAGCATACTCATCTGCACATATTCAGTCTTCTATAATTACCGGGACGTGAGCGCGCGACCTACCTCCGCCATAATAGAGTGAGTGAGTAGAACTTACGAGCTTTTCATGCAACTCTTCATGGCTTCGTACAATTGAATTGATCTCAAGCTCCAGATCAGGCTTCAGGCGTTTCTCAAAGTCGGAGCTATCTTGCTTTGACGTTGAGTACACGTCGCATCGTACGGTGGTTTTTCTGACAGATTCCGGAGAATACGTGAGCTGATACCAGATAGGATTTCCCTTATGTGAATAGACAGTGGTGAGAGGGCTGAATCGAAACTTTCCAGCTGCAGAAGGGCCGAACAAACACCACAAAGAACTTTTGAGGTGGGCAGCTGATACTTCACTTTCGAAAGCATTCCCTAGATCTCTGTAAATATGAGTCACGTTTGGTACTAGCCAAGCAAGACACTTACCAGGAACCTTCCAGTTAAACTTCCCTTTCACTTCCCAAGATCCAAGATATTGTTGGGTCTGGCAAGTAGGTGCTGGCCTTCCGATAACGTTCCTCCTCTCAAGCTTGGTCTCGCCTGCTTCTGGGCTGCTGTTCAGGTTGATGTGTAGAAATCCATTATCATCAATCTTCGTGTGAACAGGGAAAAGGCCATTCTGGCTCTTGTCAAAACCAACCACATCTTCAAAGTGGGGAGCCTTTGTAAGTTCTCCTTTATTATTGTAGCTCCATCCATGGTACTTGCAGCCAAGTATAGACGCTGAGCCAGAGGGCTTTCTAGTAACTGGAAATGCGCGATGACGACAGACGTTGTGAAATGCTCGTACTACATCGTCTTTGCCTAGCATAAGGAGGAGTTTGAAGCCGGCAATGTCAAATGCGATATAGTCGCCAGCCTTTGAGAACCGACTGCGATGGCTGACGCAAATCCAGTTCTACTTTGGTCAAATCAAATCTAGCATATCAAGTCTGAGGACATACCTGGCTGAAAATGGCCCGCTGTTCAACACTGAACCGTTTAGTATCAGTCCACCATCCCTTCGGTGGCTTGAAGCTCCTGGCAGAGACTTTGTGTGCGCTGGATGTAGAGGATAAAAATACTTTGATCAATAGGACAAGAGGCAATGCTAAGGCGAAGAGAGTGCCAGAGAGAATATAGGGAAACATATCAATAAGTTTAAACATAGCTTGAGAGGCGTGAGAGCTCAATAATGTTGTGGGGAAGTAGATAAGAGTTACTTAGAGTATTTACTAGCAAGGTAGATTCCAGAACTTTTTACTAATAACTATATCCTTCTGGCATTCAACTCGAGATACGCTCTTTTGTATCCCTGTTATGGTTATGATCCACATTGGTAGAGCCTAAGGTTTGCTTCTGGATATCCTATCCCTTGCAAACGCGAAGTGGCAAGCCTTAAATGGCCTAAGCCTGTTACTGCCAATAGCTTTTCCACCTCAAGAAGGTACAATTTGCTCTAGACAATATGGAAATGCGGTGTTCCGATAACAAGGCTACTAACTGTACCATCGGCCAATTATAAGCGTTAAATTGAGGGGATTCACTTTCCTAAAGCGGGTGTTTTTTACGCCATTGCCTTTATTGGCTATAAGTGCCTGGGTTTATTTCCTAAGGAGATTATCAGATAATGCCAGATCTGGATTTAGTAATAGTCATTTAGATAAGGCACCAGTATCCATCTAGAGGGTATTGAGCTGTTCTCTATTGGAAGGGTGCTGGTACTCGCATGAGCTCGTTGAATTAGAAACAGCCGCTAATGAGACTTGTAGGTATGGAAGTAGAGGGTAAGGCGGTTTGGGATCGGAGTGGACACACTGGCCAGCTCGCTGCCCACTGTGCTCTGGTAATGGATTATATGGCATCTGTTCATTGGTTATCTTCTAACACAAGACGCTCGGAGGATCTGCAAACTAGCGGCGGAGGAACTCAAGCAGTTCACGGATCTTCCGAAAGCCAAACTCAATTTGAGCGTGGACCCCACATTCAGTGGTTCGAGGTATTTCTGCAGAAGCAATTCAGTGGCGTCTGGGGACACCGAGGATATCGGCGGCTCGTATTCTAGCATGGACCCGACTACCTTCCATATAAGTCCTCAGAGTGAGATGCAAGGTCCGGTACAGATACAACTGAGCACACGCATTTCTCAAATATTCACTTATCACTATTGCATGCAATGGAAGAAACACAAGTAATTATTGTTGGGGGCGGACCAGCTGGTCTTGCCCTGGGACTGTCACTCGCCCGACTAAAGATTCGTGTCAGTAGCCACTATTTCGACAGGTACAGCACCCTCATGCTCCGTACTAACAACGCACTCTCGCCAGTCCGTCATTCTTGAAAAAGAACCAGAGATCACCACAGATCCTAGAGGCGTTTTCCTCACAGGGGATGCCATCAGAATACTACACAGTCTCGGGATCAACGATCTAGCGGGCATAGGTCACGGTAAGTCCACAAACTTCTAAAGCAAATGGATCTGCATACAGTCACATCAGGTACTAATTTAGACTTGCACAGAGATTCCCCATGTGAACGTTCATCGCAGCGCATTTAATGCCCCGCCATTCTTCTCAGTCCCAGTTGGGGACATCAACAGTCTTGAACAAGCTCTGCCTGAAGGCATTCTGCAAATGCAGCCGCGTCTAGGTAAACGACTCTAGGCCCCATTGATGTATATCTTCCATCTTCTAACGACGAATTACAGAGATGGCATTGAGAAAGGCTATTGACCAATCGCAATACTGTTCATTTCGCCCTTCCTGTGAAGTGGTCTCACGGTCTGAACAAGATCCACCAGTGATCGACTTCAAGAATAGCCAAGGGACACGCCAACAAATCAAAGGAGAATGGCTCATCGGTGCCGACGGGAAACTTGGAATTGTACGAAAGCACTTCCTTGAACCAACTGTAGGCATCAAGCAGCAAGACGGTCTTTATCCTTACAGCGGTACATGGATAGCCGCCAACCTGAAGATGAAACTCCCTACCCCAGAGAGTCATCCTGACTTTCCACTCTGGAAGCTTGGGTATTCGCCGCAGGAGGTTTATGATCTGTTCTGGCCGATCGGTTGGCACTTTTGTACCCCGCCTGGGAAGGCTACTGCTTCTGGAAGATTTGGACCTTATGAGGAAAGGCTCTGGCGTCATGAGTTTGCTCAAGATGAGTCACTCATTAAAGATAACTCGGAAGAGCTACTCTGGGAGCACATCACGCCGATGATCACTCTTGAGCAAGACAAAAACCGCAATCATAGGTTCAGCGGCCCTGTGCAGTATCCACGAGATTGTATCGAAATCCTGCGATGTCGACCATTCCACTTCGTTCACAAGGTTGTTAACTGCTGGTTCAGTGGCCGTACAATTCTCATCGGCGACGCAGCCCACGTCTTTCCCCCTTTCGCCGGTCAAGGTATTGGCAGTGGTGTTAGGGACGCTCACCAACTTGCCTGGAGGTTAGCTTTAATGCTCCACCCTGACTCCAAGCCCGAAAACCACGACAAGCTACTCAAGTGCTGGGAATCAGAGCGGCGTCAGAGCATCAATGACGCGGCGCAGTTCTCCATGATCAATGGCCGCATCTGCAACAATGAACCTTCTTTATGGCAACGTTTATTTTTCCGGCTTTTGATGTTGCTTCACGGCACTTCTGCGTTTCGGTATGTAGATTATATGCATTATAAGGAGAAGAAGGGGTTTTCAAATGTTGAAAACGGGTTCTTTATCAAGGGCTGCACAGGTGGCTCCCGTTTGCCTCAGATACACATGAGATCGAAGTGCCAGGCAGAATCATTCCTATCAGATGGCCTTTTACGAAAGGACAATACGATCTTCACTCTAGTGGTAATGGGCGATGGAAACCCAGCTAACCAGCTACGCTTGCACGCTGAAGCAACGGCTGCAGTCCAAGAAGCCGGACTCTCATCAATTATCTCAAAGGATGCTATTGTATTTTACGATGCACATTGGAGTGGCTCATCGCAGGGTCAAAAGACACTTTCAGATACTAATGGCGGGCTTGGCCATCCCATGGTCTGTTCACCTTCGCAGATTGCTGCAGCTGATGGGCACATGGCGAACGGATATGACAGTTCGGTCTTTGCTAAGCGTCTTGGGAGGGGTACCAAGTTTGCGATTATTCGACCTGACTTCTTTATCTTTGCTTGTGCTTCTGACTATTCTGGGCTGGTCGGATCTCTGAGATCATTGAGAAGTCATGTTGGGTTTGGGGATAAGAAATAGTTGACAGGGTGAAGCGTGAGGAGCGTACTATATAGTTATCTAAGATCTATTGATAGCTGGAGGCCTTTGGCAAATTTCTTTTGCTTGTTAGTTGTTTCGACCAATAAACTGTGGACTTGGATGCATTTACTCCCAGTACTAGGATGGTATGACGACGTGCTCAGTCACATCTCGATGCAAATGTCAGCACAAGAGTCATTGTGTTTGGCATGATAAAAGCGTCAGTTCTCTGGTCCATCAACTCATAAGAGCCCTTTCAATAATGGAACTGGCCACAGAATATCTCGAGGGATGAAGACGCAACATCTATATTTACAAGAACAACAAATGTCTATAAGTAACTTCTACATAAATCTACTGAACAAGAAGATAGCAACCCTCTGCACCGAGACTACCAGACGCGTCAAAAGTCCAACTCTGCAAAGGGCTTAGTTAGCAAAACTTTTCGTGCCAGGATCTCAAAGGTAAACGAACGATGCTTACTCAAACTTGATAACATTTCTCAATGTTCCAACCCGTGTCATAGTGACTTCGAGAACATCACCATCATTGAGAAATACCTTGGGGCTATGGAAGGCACCTACTCCAGCCGGAGTTCCCGTCATGACCGCTGTACCAGCCGGTATGGTTGTTCCTATATCACATCTATTAGCATTGATCCTGCTCGTGCGTAATAGTGGAGTACCTTGGCTCATATGGCTGAGAATCTGCTCCGGCGAGAACACCATGTCCTTCTTAAACTCAGCCTCTTGCCTGACTTCACCATTCACCTTTGCGATTACTGAAAAGCCCGAGCCATCACCAAATATGGCTGGGCTGATCAATGCAGGGCCAATAGGTGCAAACTTGTCGAAGGCCTTGGCGAAGAAGAATTGACCGGCTGAGTGCTTGGGAAGCTGGTACATGCGGCAAGATATATCATTGCCAACCGTGTACCCTAGGATATAGTCCTTGGCTTCCTTGGGAGAAATGTCGCGACATTGTTTGGAGGTGACAAAGACTAGCTCGCCCTGTAAGCGCAATCAGTATTGGATATCATGATTCTGGCATGATGTTACTCCATACCTCATAGTCTGGGAGACTCTTTGCGCAAAAGTCATTGATGGGGATGTCCTCATCTGGGTTTGCAAGAGATGCAGCTGGCTTAGTCCAAAGCGGAGGGACCGAGCTCAGAGTGAGCTACTGACATGTTAGTGATTGACTCAAAGCTGGGTGTCTGTTTCACTTTGGCATACTGAAGCTTCTTTGGCGTGGCTGCGATAGTTCAATCCCACGCAGTATAGAGGTAGGTCATCTCTCGGTAGTGGTGCTAGGAGCTGCACTCAGTCAGTATCATAAATTAGAGACAACTTCGGTCCACTGAAGGCATGACACAAGGGGTCTTACACGGTGAATTGTTACTGTTTTGGATTGATTTTTATCAGCCAATCCCTGTAAAGACTTGACCGCGCTGATCTTGGTGCCGAGAGCAGGTGGGCCTTGAGAATCAGGACCAAGATCGGCGAAATATGCCTCCCCATCCTCTTCAGACTCAAACTTGATAAGTACCGAGAAATTGGCCATGGTGGTGCGATATCACAGGGCAAGTTGTTAATCCACAACTCATCTCTGATACCAATGCTTAAATACATCTTTTCGCAACTCAACATGGGTTTTGGGTAAGCTGCTTGTTCTATTGTGCTAAAATGCGGGGAAATGCAAGCTACGGCAGATCTCAAGCTTGAACATTTTAGATCCTCCGACGCGGGATTAGTTGCACGAAGAGTGCCGAGGTTGGTTAGTCATCGGAAATACTGCATGGATAATTTTGTTCGGAGCATCTTGTGAATCCACATTCTCGACCATCTCTCATTACCTCCGATGTCCTGATTACGTCGGCATCGGCCTTCTGTCTAAGAGTATCCATAAACGACCGGCGTATCCATCGCTGGCCTCTAATCGAGACTCTTTCCGGTTCTCCGCAATGTCTGCGTCGCCGTCTTCACGCGGCGGAACATTCGGCGCTGCTCCCTCTCATCGGCTGAGTACCAGAGTCTGCGACAACTGCATTCGGTTCGTGGACCCCGCATCAACTCTCGGTCCTACAACATCTGACAATCTCCGTGCCTCAGCTCTAAAGTCCGATGTGAGATAATCCGGCAAGTCATTGTTGCCAGTACTGATGCGACCGACCGGTTACAGGCGATTTAGGTCAGCCGTCATGCTCCCGCTGCCTAAGCCGCGGTAAGGTATGCAACTACTCTACGACGCGTCGTCGGCCTGGACCAGCCCCAGGTTCCGGACGAGTACCACGGGCAACGCGGAACACTCGCAACCGAGAGAGAAGGCATTCCGGTAAGACACGTCTGCCTACTGCTTAAACATCGCGGAATCTAATCACCCTTTTTGACGGCACAGAAGAAGCCACCTTGCAAGCCGATTCGATCCTTGAGGACGATGGTTCGATTCCAGTTGTTTCAGATCTACCCTCTGAAAGTCCTGATACCCTTGTCACTTCCCATACATCTTCTGGCAGTCAATTAACACAGCGTCCTAACATCTTACCCGAAGAGGAAGCTTATCTGTAAGAAACGATCCTGCATAGTAAATGCAAATGCACTAGGTTACCCTGATATCTTCCAGCTGACCATGCCAGGGCCGATGAGTACTTCAAATCGATCAATGAAGCCATACCACTATTCTCCGAGGCCGCAGCATCAAATAGCAGGGATGCTCTATCAACATGCAGCCCTGAACTCACCGAATCTCTGATTCTTATCACAGCCAGACTCCTCGGCTTCAAATTCGCAACTCCTAATTTTAACCTCGACGATCGTATAGACCTAATCCTAAGCAATACAACTCTTCAAGAAGATACAGCCGGTGACTTTCCAAGTCTCGATCTGTTTCGCAAGTTCTGCCTTCTCGTCTTTTACGAATTCCACCAATTCCCAGGCCAACAAGCCTGGGTACGAATAGGAAAGATCGTCAGGCTTGCGTATTGGATGGGCCTTGATCGTCTAGAAATAATCCAATCGGTCTCCCCAGAATGGTCCAATGTGAGCGACGCGGATCTTCAAAACTGGAGACTTGTTTGGTGGTGTGTATACCGTCTTGACTCATATGCCAACCTCTCATCGGGTACACCTTACCAAATTGATGAACGACTTGTCAATACGTCTCTTAATCCCCAGAGTCAGCTTTCTCAAGGACTTGTTGCCCCATGCCGGTTACCTCATGATCCGCGTGGTCTTCCCGACCTTCTCTTATGTGTCAAGGCCAGTAACGAAAGCAGCTTACTCTTCGACATTCATCTCATCGCCGTCACTGTCTTGCGGCAATTTGGCAGAGCAATGAGTATGCGCTACTTGGTTCCTCACGAGATCCTCACGGCGAGCCTACTCGATGCAGAACGTACGCTGTCCGCAATACGCCTAGCTTTGCCACGGAACTTTCTGAACCCCGGAAGGAATGCGTTCATGAATGAGTCAAATACAAATCATCACGCGAGATTAGTCCCGGTGCTTCTACTACATATGGCGCAACTGTTAGCTGCCCTTGCGAGCTGCTACTATCTTCCGGAAGGTGACGATTGGACGCTTAGCTGGCAGCGTGTTCTGGAGACTTGCCAGAATATAGCCGGGGTTGCAGAGAAGTGGGATAGTAATTACACTCTCACCGTGGACCCAGCACTATCACTCATCAGCTTGACGGCACTCGTCTTCTTGGATATCCACAAGAAGTTTACTGAGAGTACGAACACGCAGCTCATAGCTGAAATTGAAAATTGTGAACTTCTTCTGCTGCTCCAGCTTGAGCAATTCTCGGCTCATTGGAAGCTTCCGAGCTTGCTGATCCGTAAGTACAACCCATCTTGTCTACTGATAGAACCCCAACTCTGACGATTGGTTCAAGTGTCATTTAAGAGCTTCAAGGAGTCAGTGACAGGCCCACTATATTATGCACACATCCAGCTCATACTTTCCCGTTTTGAGAGTCCTTTACACCCGAGGTGGCTACAGTTCTTGTCATCTGCGCAGACGCATCTTGAGAATGTAATTTGGGGACATGTAACCTGAACAGGGATATGCAAATAAGGTAATGTGTACATATATAAGAATTCTATATTTAAGTACCACTATAAATAGGTGCTGAATAATAGGCACTTTTGTCTGTACATGCAATATCTCAACATTCTCACCTTCTGCTTTTGGCATTGAAGGATTATGCTAGCATCCATCGCATGCGGGTAAGATATAATGTCGTCATGTCATTGGTGCGCGCTTGGCCTGCTGATTAATCAAACGATAACGATCCCGTTACTATTTATATCTTGCGTACCTTATCAGTCGGGCCATTTCCCTCGATTATCTCCGTGAGGCTCCCTTGGCATTGAACACATACATGAGGACCAGCATCCCATATCGAAATACAGGAACCAACAGCAGCATGTCCGAAAACAAAATTACCTTCTTCGACATACCCAGCAGGTCGCCTCAGGTCTGCTGGTCCATGAATACCTGGAGAAGTCAGTCTCCATAATTACGGGCTCAATCCAGCGCTAACACGAGCTGCAGCGAGACTGCTTCTCAACTACAAAGGCCTTGAGTATAAGACCGAATGGGTAAGCTACCAAAACTGCCATGCTATGATGTGCTGACTTGTGTAGCTTGAATACCCCGAGATCAAGGAGCGCCTCAGTGGACAGTAAGTACAAAGCCAAGCCACATCAATCGAACATTCAGTAACGATTTCATACTTAGTGTATCCCCAAATCAAGGAGGCGCGCCCTTCACATGCCCAGCCGTTCAAATGCCAGACGGCTCATACATCATGGACTCTTACAAGATCGCCGACGTCATCGAGGAAAAGTACCCAGAGCCAGGTGTACACCTGAAGAATCCAATGCAAGACCGTCTCCGAGCATCAATGATTAAATTCATGACTGAAATGGTCCCAATTTATGTCCCCGGCGTCGCCAAAAACATTATCGGCGAAAAGAGCATTGACTTCTTTCTGCAGACACGGTTGCAAGACGTAGGAATGCCTCTCTATGAGTACGGGGAAAAGCACTCCCCTGGAGCATTTGACAGAGCGGAGCCGTTTGCACGTGAGATCACGGCCTTGCTTGAGGAGAATAAGTCCGGGCCATTTTTGCTGGGGGATGTGGTGAGCTATGCTGATTTCATCTGGGCGGGTATTCTGCTGTTCTTCAAGTGCCTTGGCGAGGAGGAGTATAAGGAGGTGCTGAGGATAACCGGTGATGGGGACGTCCATACTAAATTTCTTGATGGCCTACGACCTTGGACAGAGAAGAATACCTGATGCTATCGATAAGGGATAAGGAGAGATAAGAGTGACTTAAGCCAATCGATAAGCACTTATCAGGCTCTTATCAGCTAGCTGCAGATCCCATTCCTTGAACTTGTCTTGCTTTAGGGTAGTAATATTTATTTTAAATATTTACCTTGAGTTTAATACTTCCATGCTTTAAATTAACTACTATTATCCTGGTAAATGAGATAGTTATTAGTTATCCTAAAGTTTATTTTAGAAATCTCAGTCTCTATTATGCATCACAGGCTACAGCACTATATACATGCTATCCCATTCTTGGTTTCACAGCTGTTCATCGCCCTTGACATAGGCTTATAGTAATGTGGAGACTTTTTACAACATCAGATTCTCACATACCAGGAAAGCATATGCCCCGTTGTCCATTGTCAAAAGCAAAAACAGATACTAGGATCAGAAGTCAGACAGTAACCCAGCCTTGTTCTGGCGCCTGGAACCTCAAATGAAATATCATACAAGCAAGGAATAAAAGGTGGACTAGATGTTGAAGGTGGCGGGCAAGTGGCTGCTTATCTGCATTCGGGGTTTCAGAGAGAGATGTAAGAGAATTCTGAGTTCTGACATTGCATTACGTATAAACGAGTGAATGGAAAGTTGCTATTGAACAGGATTTTCTATATAAATTCACCAAGCTCATCTATTTTCAGAGTATGCCTTTAGTATATCCTACTAAAGTCCATTCAGCTCTTACTTCTTTTCGTAGAGCTATTTATTTCCTAAAAGTCATCATCACTGCAGAATGTCATCCACCGCCAGTTCAATTGATCTATCAGTCCCCCTCGCCCCGCCAAGTTCGCCTACGACTTCACGCCGGCAGTCATGTAATAGATGCCATAGCCAAAAGCTGAGATGCACTCCTGTCAGGACAAAGAGAATGGGAGCTTGCAGTCGTTGTTATCGACATGGCACTCAGTGCGTGTACAGTCTTAGCCCTCCCAAGGGACGTCCGAGTTTGTACCATTACAAGGGCGAGACGGTGCTTAAGCCTCCAACAAGTCGCATGGAAACGGTTGTGCAACTGCTCACGCCCGAGGAGTATGACTGTGCGAGTATCCATGAACCTGGAATGACGTATAGTCTTCAGCTGTCAGCCACGCCTCATGCTTCTGGAACCATTGATCCATGCCAACTTGCGCCGGACCCGATCTTAGACCCGGGACCGTACCTAGAACCAATGCCCGAAGCATGGTCAGATCATGCGTTGCAGCGGGGCGTTTGTTCGTGGGACACTACGTATGCGCAATATGATCCCATTGGCTTCTCCTGGATGTCCAACACCCACATGGACATAACCCACATGGACATACAGACGGGTGATGAATATGCTCTACAGGATTCGTTTGTACCCGGACCTCAAGGCGACTGGAACTTGGGCTCAGTCAATGTTTCGTCGCAATTGAAGCAACTGCCACTTTGCCGTTTCACGAACGCCACAATTGCACTTGGCCGCCTCATACCTAGAGTCCAAGCCCTCTCCAATAAGATCCAGGAAGTATTTAAGAACCGGAGGATCTCTCATGAACAGGGAGATACTGGTCGATGTGTACCTCCGTTGCTGCTCAATGACGATGTGTTCAAGCTCGTCATGGTATGGCTTTTCAACACTTCCGAAGACACGGACGATGAAGGCAGCATTTTCAATTCTCTTTCGGCTACTAAAAATGAGCTACGTAACGAGGAGGTTATCGTTGAGTTGGTTTCGTGCTCATCCGAATTCACAACGACGACAGTCTCACTTCAAAAGGAACTCGGAAGCCGAACCTATAAGGCAGTGAGCGACAACCACGTGGCGCACCATCTAGTGGGTGCATGTCATGTATTGTTAATCGACAGATTTGAAGCCGTACTAGGTGCCTTGCAGGATATCGCTGATGCCGAACGTCATACCGCACAAGAAACAATAACCCCAGGATTTGTGGATCTCCAGTTGGCAATAGTGGTACAGCTCTGTTCTCACTTGTTCGTGGGACAATGCCGCGTGATAGACGCCTATCTGGAAGAGAAATCGGGACCGAAGTCAGATGCAGGGTCTCCGAATGGAGGGGCTGATGACGGGATGGTGATACAAGAATTGAAGGCTCGGGTTGACAGCCGGGTTACATGGTTTCAGACGCTTTGGCATGGCTCTACGTAAGACGGTAGCGTGCTAGTCGCCGAGGCGGTATAGAGAGATATTATGTAAATTTGATGTCGAATTGGGGTCACTTCAGTCTCTCGGTGCTGGGAAACTGTCTCAATACTTTTTCATTGCTCCAATGGTGACTAACAAACAGGCATGACTTGAGGTATACATGCGAGTATCTAACCACGGCTAGCGCTTAAGAAGAGAACAGTTAATGAGGTACCTTCGCATCCTCATTCCTTGGAATAAAAACAACAGCAACTTCAGCATCGTTACATAACCAGACCTGACAAGAGGCCCATTCTTCAGAAATTTGACACTCAATATGATAAGAAAAGGGTCGTTGCCATAAGGAATCTCAATAACAGAGAAAGTTTAGCTTTTGGATGTTTGGACCCGTGCAGTTCCTGTTTGAAAGGAACAAAAGCTCATCCTCAGTCATAGCCTAGTCCTGACTTCCCATACGTCGGATGCCCTCTCCCTTTGCTCTCCATGACAGCAAGTCCTTCACCCCTCTTGGGCTCAACTAAGCTCATACCTAGTAGCTTCTCATAAAATGGCACCGACTTCTCCCAGTTTCCTGTAAGTAACATCACCCGTCGCAGATCTGGCATCTCATCCAACACTTCTCGCATACAACGAACAAGCCAGCTGCCCAAGCCTTTCCCTTGATATGTCGGATCAACCCACACGTCTGTGAGGTATGCAAAAGTGACGAAGTCGGTCACCAATCGAGCGATGCCAATAAGCTTGCCCGGTGATTCTGGGCCGGAGGATTCAGCCGAGTCGTAGATACCGAAGGACAGGGAGTTGTGAAGGGCCTCTTTGAAGGCTTCAGGTGATAATGCGCTGGCCCAATAGAACTCTTTTGAATTGAAGATATCGGTGAGTTGGGAAATAGGGAACAGGTTGGGATCAGTTGAGATGGTAAATTGATCCTTTTGCCAGGATCGCGACTGGAACTTTGCCCTGAGAGATGTCATAGTGGACTCGAACTATGTTTTGTTTCTCGTTGATGGAAAGATAGATAATAGAAGAGAATGAGTATTCGATGAAGATTTAGGCTTATAAATACGCGACCTGAGCACGGTGAGTCATTGGCTTGCGATGCGCCCTTTGATCTACGAGGGCCGGAAGTGGACGACGAGGAGTTAGTCTCGGTGTTTTACCAATGATCAACCGCCGTCTTTCGTACCATTACTTCGCAGTCACCGAAACCAGCAAGTCGATTTTTGTATGACTTTGGATGACTCAGACTACAGATGCAGTGCTCAATTGCAATTTTAATTTCTAGAATATTTATTATACATAAGCTACGGCCGACATCGTCTGTCCCCTTTGAACTGATACGATTCATCGATAATCGGAGCGATCCTCCGAGCTCGGAGCCGTGCCGAGTTTCACAAAACTAGCCTCACCCAAGAATCATCACAATTGAATCCTGGGTGTGTCAAAACGTGAACAAGGCCTGTGCCTCGGCCATGAACCCCGATAAAGTCGGATTATCAGGCTCTGTCTTGGTTACAGACCCTTGCCAGCCCTGCTTGTAGACTCGCGTTTCCAGAAAATCAAGTTCCATACCGCCTGAAGCACGAGACTGCAAGATGTGCAATAACTCCCTGACCTTGTTGTCGCCCTGGATAAAATTCCTAAGAGCATTCGCATTAAGATAGCGGTAGGCCGCGCTGTATGACCTGTTGTCTGAGCTCCATCCTCCAATTGAGTAGCTTGCTACAACAGCGCCTGGGCTCAGCATGATTGCGCGGTCTAGCTCCTGCAGTACAGCGTCCAATTGCTGAACTTCGCTGTAATTGAGCGAATTGGCGAATCGGAAACTCAAGTGAGCTGTGACTGTGTCGTAGGTGCTGGATAAAGCTGTTTGCCTGGCGACATCGCTAGAGGTAAACTTGTAGACGTCTTTGGTGGCTGGCGCTACAGTGATGGATTTCCAGGCGCTGGCGAGCTCTGTTGCTTGTTGGCTAGCCTCGAATTGAGCCCGACCAGCTAAACTCTTCCAATCTTTGAAATTCTCGTTAGTACGAGTTCTTATCGAGGCGCTTCACTGTACTTACCGATAAACAGCTTAGCTTTGTTCGGAGCGTCATGCACAATCCCCCACCAGATGATGCCCGTTTCTGGATGGTTGAGGTACGTCTTTAGCGTGGCCGCCCATATCTTGCCGACCTCGGAATTCTCATCCGAGAGTGACGCAGGGTCACTAGAATTCGAGAACTGGAAGCCGATGACTTCTGTGCCCTCGTAGGGAGGGAACTGAGAGTTGGCCATGATGGTTAAACATGCAATTGAGGTTTTATTTGACAACTGCAAAGATTACACGTGTATGAACTTGGCCTTTATAAAAACACTGGAACCGCTGACGTAATTTGATGGGGTTACCTGTCATTTTCAGGCCGTTTAGCGACCGTGCCCACTGTCAGCCGTTGAATCCGACGCTGAATGTGAAACGAAGCTCATTAAACCCTTGCCATTTGCACTCCTTTTCATGTGCATCACCAGGAAATCGCCATAGGGTCTCAGCTACTTTTCAATTTGCGAAAAGATTGAGGAGTTCATAAAGATATTCGTCAATGAGGCTAGTAAGTTGAACCCTTAGTAAACGAGGTACCATCTCCGTACATCTTGAAGCTTAATAGGTGTCCTTCTTATCCACTCCGAGCTCATAGAAACTCTCAATCAAGCTCAAAACAGCCAGAGCAGCACCGTAGGTCATGTCAACATGCTCCTCGTTAGCCTCCTTCTCAGGGCTAGCAGTCAATTCCTGGTCCTTGGTCGTCCAAAATTGCCTTGTAGGCATCTCCTCCGGCAGAGGATGGAAAGGCAAGCCAGTGGGCATATCGCCGTCCTTCTTCAAAGGTAGGCTGACGTTCTTGCCACTATCAGAACCAGTTCTGAGAAGTTTCAGGACGATGTCATACGCCTCGAACTTCTCGTTGCCGTTTTGGAGACCTTGGAACATGACGTACACGGCTCGAACAACGCTTTCCAGTGCACCTACGATCCATGCATGGTGGGACGAGGCTGCTTCTCCAACGATATACAGTTGACCCAATGCGTTGGGCTTGATGATTTCCTGCCACATGTTGGAAAACTGCCCGGGGCCGAAATACGCGAAGGCTCCCGACATGTGTTCGTCTCTATACCAGTCGTAGCCGTGGTGATCAATGTATTGCTGTTCAAGAAATTTCACCATTTCCTCAAATGGGCGCTCCCTCCGAGCATGAAGCCGTGCAAGGTCGTGGATGATGAGCCGCTTGAGCTCCGCGTCGTCTTGTGTTGTGTTGTTGGAACAGACGGCGCCAATGCGCTGGGCATCTTGACCCCAGGTATATGAACACAGAAGCACGGCCGGCTTTGTAGGATCCCACTTGTCCTCACCCTCGTTTGACTTGATATTGTACGATGGGTACACGCAGACACGCAGGGGCAAATCTGTTCTGGAAACACCACCTTTGGCAATGTTGAATGGCGGCGTCTGCCACCATGCAGTGCGGAATTTCATGCCAACTTTGGAAGAAGCACCATACCCAAGAGCTCGGATGGCCTGCTTAGTACCCCAAGACAAACCAGCATCCGAAAGCTCCATACGCTGAAGGGCACCGAGCGTGGTGCTGTTGAAGATGGCAAAGTACTCCCTGACTTTGGTCTCGACCTTCTTGGTCTTGGGATCTGTTCTGGTGGTTTTGATCTTCATGGCAGTGTACGAGCCGGCTTTGCGCTCTCGACGAAGCGGAACTTGAGCATCGATTGATTGAACCTTGGTGTTGTATTCAATGCACTTCTTGATCTTTAAAGCCATTCGCTTGGCGATCTCCTGTGCACCGCCATCAATGCACCACCAATACTGGATGTCCTTTGTTGCTGGGTCGTCGTCCATGTCGGGTGTATGGAAATCGAGCTCCTCCAGGACACACTCTGTGAGGGACTGGTCATACCAGCCTGTACCACTACCAAGAGTTAGCTATTGAGAATTGAACCTTTGATGCGACACTTACTAGGTCATTGTCTCAAGGTACTCGATAGTGTTGTAGTTAAAACCAGGCCCCTGGGGAAACTCATCTTCAGCTGGAGGCTCTGGTTCTTCCCCGTCCTTTCTCGGCTGGCCTCTGTGATCTCAAGTTAGTTTTGTAAATGACTTCAGTAGGCGAGGAGAACTTACGAGCCAACGAATTGTCGAACACTCATATGATCGGCCTTCATCAGAAGATCCCATAACTTTTGAGATGCTGGCCCTCTAGGCCTACGTTCCCCGTCTTCACCAACACTCTTGAAGCCTTGCTTCTCCTCCTCTTCCTCTTCAGCGATTGCCGCCTTGAACCTCTCTTTCGCAACCTTTGTGAAGACCTTTAGAGCGGTGCTGACTAGTTCGCTGGGGTTGGTCTTAAGCAGGCGCCTATAACGAGGCCAGATGGAGTCCAATGGTGTTTGTTTTTCAGGTGACATACTCTGGTCGGATCTTGCCGTTCGGAGGAAGGCCTTCGTTGACCTGATATGGGTCATTTGCCTTTTTCTTGGGGTCCCAGACATTGCCACTGGTGGTTATGTCGTTGAAGTAGGCAGGGCATTCGTCAAACTCGTTCTTTAAATAATACGGGATCAAGCCTGCTTTGCTTTCCTGTGTAATTCCAATGTACTGGAACAGTTGAAATGTTCTGGGAAAAATTAGACAATGGCTTCGCCATGCGTCCTGTTGATTTGGCTTACCTCTTCATAATAGTGTTGTTAGGAAAGCGCATGGCACCGACATCATAGTAGTCGTGTTCCTCATCAGAGCAGTGGTGAGTGTAGAGACGCCCACCAAGTCTCTCTGCACCAGCAGCCTCAAGGATGTCATAGCTGATCTTGAGACCCTTTCCCTTGAGCTCTTCATGGCCATTGAGCCGATCAAAGAGAAGGGCAGCAAATAAGCCAGCGACACCGGCACCGACAATGCCCACGCTAATCTTACCCTCCTCCTCGGGGATGTAGCCTGGACCAGTGGCCTCCATGGTCTTCTTTCGGAGTGAGCCAATGTTATCCTTGGAATCGAACTTAGCAGGAACAGATTCCTTCAAGCGTTCGATAACACCCTTGAGATCATAATTCATACTCGCCTTGGCGACATCACGAGCCCACATGTGCTTGTAGGACTTGGTGAATTGATGGACTTCTGTGAAGGTGCCTTGCGAAGACATGGTGGAGAACTGATTGCTTGTTACTGGATTGAGAAAAGTGAAGTGAGTGCTGTAGGGAATATTGGTTTAAATCTCCAGCACAAGGTGTCTCTTTCATGAATCCATGGCAGCTTTACCCGCATAGAAGACATACGATTTGGTCTCTACGCAAATGACCCCTTTGCGACCTATACAGCTGTATGAAACGCAAGTCACAAAAACAGCACGAAAGTGGACAGCTGAGTCTCATCAACGTGTCAGAAAAACTTGCCCTTCCGGGTGACTGCGTTCTTCCATTAACGAATGAGCTGTTGAATATTTCGAAAACAACGCGAAGGTGGATACCATGTCTTCCCAAGCTTTCAGCAGCTCTTCCCATTTCGAACGACTGCATTCTTCTATTGAATCATCTGTCGTAAATCTTTACGGGATAGTCACTCATTCGTAATGGCTGGCTGAGTTGAAACATTGTAGTGCCCTTCGAAGTGACGGTGGCTACCTGAGCTCAATGTATGAAGGCCGGATCCCTTCACACCACTCACCAAGAACATAATGCATCTCCCGTACCTCAGATACTTCTCATTGGAATGCCCCATTGATGGCTGAGACTTGATGCGTATTCGGGGACTCAAGATATGACATTTCTGGCAATGTGGCTGGCTGAAGAGAATAATTATGGCCGACTCGGTCACATATCTAATTATGATGAATAATGTCTCAAAATTCTTGTTTAGCAGGCTTTATATCTTTTCACTTATGGGCAATGGCCAATCGCATTGTTGATATTTGTGATATGTGCACCACTATGTGAGGCCCGCAGATCTCATCAGAACAGAGCCAATTGTAGCTGTAGAAATTATGCATGATACGACGCATTGGTATCAATATTGCAGTGTGTGGGCTCTTAGCTTGCAGACGTGACTAGTCACAAGGGTCATAAAGATGGCGTCGAAAGAGAGGGCTGAAATGTCGACTCCGGTAAGGCCTGTCTGCATCCCGCTGTCCTACCCCGCAACAGTGCAGAAATATTGAACCTGCTGCACAGCGTTCAACGATTAGTGCTGTGGCTAATGTGCAGAAAGAGAGTCTGGCCCCGGGATGACCCAGATGCTGTTGGCAATGTCTCACTCCTGGCGGCTAGTAAAGAACCTCCGGGGCAAAGCCCCCGAAAGCTACGAGGTATTAATAACCTCAGCATATTACTTACTGAGAGTGTGAAACTAGTATTTAAACTTGCGTTTAGAGAATTTGCAGGTGTCAGCAACTGCGGGGTTCTGAAACATTTCCATTTACCTGCAGAAGACCATAGCCTTATGTTTGAGCATGTTTTAATCATTGGCCGGGAATGGACCCAAGCGGTAGACATTCACAAATTGGCTCTACCTTGGTATTCTCAGCTTGTTGTATCAGCCAGCCACAAGTCGTGAGAGCATGTTCTGGACCAAATCTTCAATAAAGGAGGTAAAAGTAAACACCTTGATTCCATAGTCTACTGCTGTACATGAATGTTGAACCAACTCGGAGTAGGAATGCAGTTAATAATAGAGAACAAGAGGTGCATCATGCTAAGAAAGCACTGGAAAATAAAAAGCCAATTGAATCCTATGTATTCTTATCCTCGTCAAGCTACTATCCCGACTACGTTTCATCATCACCGGCTTTCTTCTCTTTATCTTCAATCATGGGCATCTCTCTCGAGGATCCTGCTCCTGCTGTTCCCGTCGTCAGTATCAGAGTCCCAGAAGGCTTCAGCTACGGACCTACTGTTCTTCAGCCAACTCTCCAAGAGTATGATGCGACTTCCAAGAATGGGGGTTACTCAGATGCCACCGATGAGGATGGAAATGGGCTCGGAATACCTCCCCCTCCCCCTCTAGATGTCCTAGACAAGTTCAAGGGCACTTTTAAGGGTTTTGGCTTCAACACTATCTTCAGGCCTCTGAGCCGAAATCCAAAGACTATTACGAAGTTTCCCAAGCCTCCAACCGACAAGAGTACCAGCAACCTCCTGCAACTCAACCTGACTGGCGAAACTCAGGGGTTCAGTGAGGTACTACTTAAAGATGTACCCAATCGTGGTTTGTTTGATCAGGCCGATATTGACCTCATCGGTCGACCATATACGCAGTCTATTGTCGATGCAATGCCCGATGAAAAGGGAAATTTCCCAGTAAACCCACCTGTCATCCACTTCGAACCAGGACTATGGATGCGCGTGCCTCAGGTTGAGGACATGCCGGAACTCGCAGCCTCTTTCTGCCGCATGGGTTCTATTCCCCATGGCACAACCATCAACGCTCAAGGATTTGAGCCTGCCCGCACTTCCAAAGGCGCCCCCGGAAATTGATGCCACCAGCATCAGTCCGCTTGTGATCCCGCAACTTGGGATCCCTATCATCAAGCCTAACAAATCTGTTGATGAACTGGAAAAGAAACGTTTCGACAACCAGGATGCCGACAAAGACACTACTCGCCGTCTGCCCCAAGGTCTTCGCAAGTTTATTGCCAATGGGTCTATCACCCAGCAGATTATCGATGATCCAAACACCATCCTGAGACAGGCCAATGAGGCTAAGGATATCATCGAGAACATCATGTTTATCGTCTCGACTAATGCGCCACCTGGCGCCTTTGGCGGTGGAACATCAAACATTGGCTTCAATATCGGCTCTGATGAGGGCAAAAAGGCCGAAGCTTCTCGTGAGAAGAAAAGCGGAAATGCCAATGCTGTCGACGTGACGGCTCATTACTGGGTCTCCAAGATCCGCACAAATGTTGAGCTTGATCCTTCCATGAGCGTTGGCCAAACGGTTTTTCCTGCTTCTCAAGGCCCTAGAGATGCTGTTCCGGAGTTCTTCATCGACGAACACGTTGAGATTCCATCATCCAAGAAAACTGTCACCGTCGCGTATGACCAGATTCAGTACTCTCAGATGGTGATGCTTGATTTCAATGGACTTAAGTGGCCTCATGTTACGGTTGCAACGCTTGCTCCGATTGTGAGCCTCAAGAAGCCAACACTTTCCTCAGCCATAAAGTATGGAAAGGGATCGTCTAAAGAACGTACTGTTGCGAAGTTAGGCTCTAGGGACCATCCACAGGCGCATCGCAGATTTCTTAGCAGTCGTTCGGGCATGTGGCCCAATCTGGCCGTCTCCAGCTAACGCGGCGTTCCCGTTTGGACTTGGAATATCCGGTAGATATATGATAAGCTCAACCTATCAAGTTTACTAGATTATGAGTGTTACGTACGTTAGATGTTCAAATGGATATTCGGCAAATATGTTATCGACTCTTGTTATCGCGGCCCTTTAACTCGTTGATGTGTCGATCGTGGTGGATAAACCTCGCGCTAACGGCTACGACGGCAGATATTGAGACTTCTAGACTACTCCGTAGGCCTTATCAAATCGGTGACCGGCCCACTCCGATAACATAGCTATCTTGCCGTCGCAAATTGCCGACAAGTAGTTCTCAGCTCGGTATCAAAGGTCCATTCAATATATCCTGCAACAATCTCCCGCTGAAATCCAATGATCGAGCTGGTGTCTCATGATTGTCCTTGATATCCGACTCAACCTCATACGCCTGCATCTTTGTTAATGCTCAACTTTTCAGTAGTAACATTTACGAGTGACAGTCACAAAGATGGACAAGTCAGAAAAGTCAGACAGTCTCGCGGCTGATCCGCCTGTAGACGTATCCGAGGCAGAGTCCCAGGTTCTAAGCCCTTCAACCATATGGCTCGACCGACTGCGAAGATGGGGATTAGAAACCCGAGGCATGCAACCAGTGCCCATTGAAGAGCGAACTGATACTCGCTACATCAACATATTTTTTATGTGGTTCACCATGAACGTCAACATCCTGCCGTGAGTCTGAGAAATGCACATCATAATTTACAGAGACTAATCACCGTGTTTATTACAGTATCGTCACAGGCATGCTTGGAACTCTGGGCTTTGGTCTGTCACTGAGGGAGTGCTCCCTTCTCATCTTGTTCTTCAGTTTGCTATGCTGTGTTTTCCCAGCGTACTGTAGTACATTCGGCGCTCGGACTGGTCTGCGACAGATGCTTATTTCGCGCTTCACCTTTGGGTAAGTAAAGACCTCAAAGACTTTCATATACCCTGCATGGTACATCTTCTTACAACTGCTGCTCTAGATATTATTTTATAGTCATCATGGTTATCCTCAATTTGTGTACAAATGCCGGTTTTGGCATAATCTGTGCTGTCACAGGCGGCTCGACTCTTGCTGCGGTTTCAAGTGGTTCCATCAACAGCACTGTAGGAATTGTCATCATCTCCATTATTGCGATGGTGGTATCCTTCATTGGATACAAGTTCCTCCATCAGTATGAGCGCTATTCGTGGATATTCAATCTGGTAGCCATTATCATCGCCACTGGTGTCGGTGGAAAGCACTTGAGCAACCAGGTTGAACAGCCAGCAGCATCGGCATCTACAATTGTTAGTTACGGCGGTGTTATTGCAGGTTTCATCATTCCCTTTTCGGTAAGCTTATCCCAAACAAATCCCCTCACCCCTTTCTGATAATGATCATGACTGAATGTTTACCACAGGCGTTGGCTGCTGATTTCTCCGTTTACTGCCATCCTAAAGTCTCTACTTGGCGTATTTTTGCCTACACTTATGCCGGAATATTCTTCCCTGTGGTGTCTCTTATGATTTTAGGAGCTGCCATTGGCGGAGCAACACCCAACGTTTTGTCCTGGAAAGACGGCTACGATCGATTCACCGTGGGCGGTGTCATGCAGGCGATGCTTCTCCCCGCTGGAGGCTTTGGCCGATTCGTCGCCGTCTTGCTGTCTCTGTCAGTCATTGGAAACCTCGCAGCATCTATATACTGCATCTCACTCAACTTCCAGCTGTTGGCCCCCTTCATGTTAAAGATACCACGCAGTTTCTTCACCATTGTCTATACTGTTGTGGGCATCCCGGTATCGATACAAGCAGCCAAGTCATTTTTCGACAGTCTGGAGAACCTGATGTATCTCATTTCTTACTGGGCTGCAGGCTATGTGGCCGTTATTGGTACCGAGCATTTTGTCTTCCGAGGAGCTGATTTCTCGAGGTACAATCCAGATCACTGGGACCAGCCTAGTAAGTTGCCGACAGGGCTTGCGGCGATTGGTGCTATGGGTATTGCCTTTGGTTTGACAGTTCCGTGCATGTCGCAAGAATGGTATACAGGCCCTATTGCTAAGACAACTGGCGATATTGGGTTTGAGGTTGAGCTGGTTCTTGCAGCCCTTCTCTATGTTCCCCTGCGATGGGTTGAACTCAAGTTCCGTCCTATCTAAAAGAGATTATAAGAGTCTAAATAAATTATTTCTGTATTAAATCATTTACTTATTACTGAACTATCATTCAAACTAACGAAGACCATGACATATGAACCTCTGAAGGTAAGATCTAGGGAAGGAAAATTTACCAAGCACTCAGGATCAGTCGCGCAGGAAACTCTCTTCAAATGGGTAATGAGTCAGTAGCTCATAGCCCGTATCGGTCACGAGCAAATGGTTCTCCAACTTGATCCCGTCCTTGCCGCCGACTTCACCAACATAAGCCTCAACGCACAACACCATGCCCTCTTGAAGTTCTCCTTCATAACCATACGAGTCAAAATCTTCGGGATAACGGATGCACGGGTACTCATCGCACAGCCCCACACCGTGGAACATGACGCTATAGCGCTGAGCGCGGCAACTTTCAGGTAGACGATGACCATTCTTCGTCAGTTCTGCGAACTTCACACCAGGCTTGATCATCTTGGCATTGGCGGTGATATGTTCGTGAGCGATTCGGTACAGACGTTTCTGTTCTGCCGTGGGCTCGAGATCGCCACAGATCCAGGTGCGCGACACATCCACGCACATACCGTATACACCTACAAGGTCAGTGTCGAGAGCCACCAAGTCTCCATCGCGAAGCACCCGTGGACCACATTCCTGATACCAAGGGTTGGTGCGTGGTCCAGAACTAAGAAGACGAGTTTCAATCCATTCACCACCACGTCGGATATTGCCGGCGTGTAGAGCAGCCCAGACGTCATTTTCGGTGGCGCCAGCGCGCATGGCCTGGCGCATTTCGCCGAGCGCAGCTTCACAAGAGGCAACGGCACAGCGTATAGCTCGGATCTCGTCAGGACCCTTGATCACTCGTGCGTGGTCAGTGACGGCCTGCCCGTCACAAATCTCTATCCCTTGAGCTTCGAGGGCGCGTAACCCAGTAACTTCGATACGGTCCACGGCTAGCCGGCGGTTATCTCCAGCGTGCTTTCGTAGCAATTCATCAACTTGTGTGCCGAAATGCAGGGCATGTTCATCGGTGCGGGGGCCGGTCTCGAAGTAGAAGAATGAGGCACCAGATCGTACTTCGTTGATCAAAGGGAGATGCGCGGAAAGATGCTTGCAGCCGTGGAAATCCCATAGCACCATGTAGCCACTTGCCGCAACGAAACAGGCCCGGGCAGGGTTATGTGCCGTCCACAGCTGCATATTTGTAGTGTCGGTGGCATAACGAATGTTGAGAGGATCGAACAGGAGGATGCCACCAAGGTTGCGGGTGATCAGTTGATCGCAGATGCGTTGCAAGCGGTAGGCGCGCATGGTCGGCAGATGGGGCGGCTGTAGACCTAGCTGCTCCCACTCACTGAACGCCAACGGAGTTGGTCCAATGTCTACTCGGTCGTTGTTGTTGATAGAGCCATCTGGTTTCAATGTAGAGGTGCGCGGCTTGGTGGGGTCGATACGGCGAGAAATCGCGGGCAAAGGACAAAGAGAGCCAGGCTTGACCAGCTCCTCCTTCTGCTTCATCCTGAAACGGACCTTGAATTGCTCGTGGCTTGTTCGGTAGGGCTACAGCGGGTTCACGAAACTGTTCATAAAGTGATCGGTAGTGCCCACACATATTGATGATTCAAGGATAGATAGAATTTAGGTCTAGTCATCCAAGTGCTTCTTATCATCATCGAAACTTAATCCCATAACAGCCGGGCGTGATCGGGTTCCATAGCCGGATTTGTGGCAGGTGACCGTGTATCATGAATGAATCATAGACCGCGAGTGCGCCACCTCGGTTTCGCTGTGCGATGGCGGTGCTAACGGCTGTATACTGTGATACGATGAGGGGTCAAAAGAAGCTTCAGACCCAACACAAAGGCGAAGAGCTGCTAAAGACACTGCCACCGGTAGTGTTAGACCGTAGCGGCGGTGAGTATAAATTATACTCTCGAGTAGATGTATTTGCAATGGGGATCTTTCAGTGACTGTGGCATTGGAATGTTATTGCAAGGCGTAATATATTATACTTTTGGTCAGCGCATTTCATTAAGAATTAGTATCATGACATGTTGTCTTGAAGCAGTATATCTCAATACTCACGTGTTCTTTGTGTAACCATATTTCAAAAATATTCCTACTGCCTGTTACCTTGGATTCCTGGTGTGCAGTAGTCGGAAACCTTAATGCTTACGCGCGTGGTTATGACATCAAGGTACAGGCAGGGGCATAACTGAGGCTGGCATTCGGAGCGGGGAGTCTCGAGTTTTCGCATTTCTTAGTCCGGAAATGCCGATGGGTTCTTCGCCAGAGACCTTGTCATCTTCAACAACAGAAGGTCATCCCAATACTCTCTCTGGCCTCGATAAATGGTTCAGACTTGACTGGAAATATTGGCTTCGCTTACTCCGGATGTGAAGCTGCATCATGGTTACTTCCCGAGCTTGTCTACCTTGCAGAACCGCCAAGACTAAGGTGAGATCCACTGACCCTACAGTAAACCATCCCAGCTGACGATCATTATAGTGCGACCTCAAAAGACCGACATGTAGCTTTTGCTCGAGGCGCAAAATCGCTTGCGGCGGATATGCGTCGGATGCTGACTACATGTCGCGGAATCAAAATGTAACGGCCAAAGTAAATTCTGAGCGGGCTCGTCGTCGTTCAAAACATGCAACGAATGGACTTCTTCTCTACGGTACGGACACGCACCATGATTTACGCGTATTGAGCATTGACGCCCGACAAGGTTGTGAGCCCCGTCCTTCTCTTGCTAAACCATGGAATCTAGCTGACCAGAAAGCTTGGTTGAGTATCCCTAGCCCTGTTCTATACAGGCTCGAGGACAGGATACTGGATGTGTTCTACGCGGAATGGGTTTCGAGACCTAGTACCGATTTCAAGCACCCTGGGTACCTAGACCTGCTACCCGAGATGAAAGTAAAGGCTGCTCCAGCCTCTGCGTTGAACCTTGCGGTTGAAGCTTTTGCGTTAGCCAATGGTGGGAACCTCATGAGCTGTGATGGGAACCTGAAGCAGATGGCATTCTCTAGATACGGGGCTGCGCTGGAGTCTGTTAGAAAGGCGATGGTGCACCATAGCATTTTCGCTGATGATGCAACATTGATGGGGATCATGGCCATTGATATGTTTGAGGTAAATACACTAAGAGGGAATAGAAGAGGGTATTGTAACTCTAACTAACAACTCTAGGTTGTTTTCATGGTCAGAGAAGAGCCCCTCAGACTTCGCAATGATGCGATCGAGTATTTGCTTGCAGTCAGAGGAGTTGAGCAGATTCAATCCGACGTTGGCCTTGCCCTTTATCGAATGGCTAACCACCGTTTGCAAGTGAGACAACTTGGCTTCGGACTCGAACCTCTGCCAGTACAACTGGCCTGTATCGACATGCTGGATCTCTCCGTGCCGAGATATAGTCTCTGCAAGATGCAACTTGAAGCTCAGCAAACCCTGGCCATGACTCGAGATCTTAGCTTCTTTCATTGGGAAGATTTGTCACTTTTGATCATCAGGATCCAGGTGCAGTTGGAAGAGTATGAGCAATGGAAGGCCTGCCTCCCTGAATCATGGGTGCCAAAGCGTATCCAAATTGCTGAACATAGGGATGTTCTGCAGGCGTTGATAGCACGTTCTATCCCACTTACAGATCACGTCTGTGTTTACAAGGAGTCGTTCATTGCGCACCAGATGTCGTTCTTCTACCATGGAGAACTAGCCTTGAGGTCGGCATTGATCGACGCTCTCTTTGCGATGAAAAACATGTTTTTGAGGCAACCCGATTTCGAACATGAGATTGAAACACAACAAACCGCCATATCACGTATATCAGATATTCTTGTCGAGTCGATCAACCCGCTATTAGCCTCAATCCATTTTGACGACTGCGGCTCGCTCTGTCTAGCCCAAGAACGGATTACTGTCTGCTATACTCGTGGGATATGCTGGGCTCTTCAGCAAGAGAAGCGAGTAGCGGCTGAACACAAAAGCTTCACCTACCGAATTGAGAATTGGATTCGACAACAAATCGGTTTGGCATGTCAATAATTCATCTGATCTTTTACCTAAGCTGGGCCGGTATCTAAGCTTCGTGGCCCACTCGCCGGCCTCGCTTTCAGACTCTTCTCGCTCTCCCCGCTTCTAATCCTCTTGATTAAATCCATCATATCAAAGTCGACACCCAGCGGATTCGTCAAATATGCCTCCGATTTCATATATTCCGTCGCTTCCTCCAACGTATCGAAATTCTCAACCTGCAGCTCTAGAGTATTCCCATCAGGATCATGGTAATACAAACTGGTAGTCGGGCCATGGTTTATGCACCAAAACGGCTCAATTCCATTTTCCTTGCGCTGAAGATAGGATATGGCGAGGTCAGTGAGGGATGAGTAAGAGAAGGCGATGTGCTCAAGACCGCATGTCTTTGGGTCTTTGTTGGCGATGTCCATGTTGACTATACCAATGCGGTGATGTTCATCGTCGTAGGTAAGGAGATGCATGAATTCATTTTCGAAGTTGATACGGGCTTGGAGGAAGGTCTGGTAGTAGGATGAGAGACGCAGATAATTGTTGGTACGGAGTACAACGTGTGCCAATTTGACGGGCTTCAGGACAGTCTTGCCTGGGCTATCGAAATCAACGAAACTAGTCATTCTGAGGAATCTTTCGCTTGATGACAGAACGAGATGTGAAGTGATATTTCTAGTTTGACTCCTGTCGCCATTTTATATCCAGATTTGTAGCCCCTACTGGAAAACTTGATGCGTTTTGATCATCCTCAACGCGGGTCGGAATCTAGTACAGTGGAGGCTAGTGTGTCACCGACGACCGTGCCCCCAAATGAGCCTAGAAAGGCCTCGCATCCGGTGTAAGAACTAGACCCAAAGAGGTCATGCATGCGTAAAAGTGATCGACAAGCACCCTCGTGCGTTAGCCTCCAACCAACATCGTAGGATGACACTTGACGGCACATGATTCTCTTAAGCCGCCGAGAGCGGTCCCGACGTTTCCGCTTCTACTTTGACACTAAGCTGAGGAAGCCAATGTCGACCATCTTTGGCCAGACATAATGTTTTGTCGCGTCGTGAGGTGAATGAGCCACGGACATATCGGTGTTTGTGGCGCTGTCTTTGCTGATCTCACTTGGCAAAAGTATTTAGAACGCGCATCAAGACCAAGCCATTATCGGTTCCAAAAAGTGACAAATATTCCAAGGAGATACATTATTATCTACTCAACGATAGAGCTAACAGTCTATAATACTTGTCGAAAATGTCATCAAATACGGCATCATTTGGTCTCGCCACTATTCGAAACGCTCATGACGATCTCGAAGCCGCAATGGTCACCGACCAATGGGTATATCCGCTAGCAACGCTCGATGCGTCATTCCAAAGTCAGACCATCTTTAGCCTTCTCCAGGATTGGTCTTCAGCGTACTCTTCGCTGCAACGTTTGGCATCATGTGTTGCTCAGCCGGACGGGCAACTCATGAGGCACAGAATTCCACTCAAGGAAGCAAACTTTGATACCCCAATTCGCTACCCTAACAAGCTTCTTGCAGTCGGGGCTAACTATGCCAGTCACCTGAAAGAGATGGGCCTTTCTACTGAGAAATGGGATCCTATGCCGTTCTTCAGTTGTCCTCCTACAAGCTCCATCGTGGGACCGGGGAAGACAGCTCCTTTTCCACCGGCAACTAAGCAGTTTGACGGGGAGTGCGAGTTGACAGTTGTGATGGGGAAAGGGCTTAGAAACGCGACTGCAGAGGAGGCTGCAGAGGCTATCGCTGGCTATACTATTGGCCTTGATCTCAGCTGCCGCGATCTCTTCCAGACTGGTCCTCAAGGCTTGGTGGACATTATACGCGGCAAAGCACAACCAGGAATGAAACCTTGCGGGCCCATCTTTTGGCCAAAAGAATGCATTGGGAATCTGAATAACGTTCCTCTTAGACTCTGGCTTAACGGTGACTTGATGATGGATGGGACTACTAGCGAAATGATTCGGAGTCCTGCAGAGTACATTGCTGAGATGAGCCAGTTACTGCCTCTAGACCCTGGAGATATGATCATGACGGGAACACCTTCTGGATCTGCTCGGTTTCATGGAAACAGATGGCTTGTGAAGGGAGATTTCATCAAAGCTCAGATAGGTAATATGGAGCCCCTGGAAGTTAAGATTTACTGAATGATTATACATGAAATAACTCTCTTTTACTGCTGATCTCAGTTTATAATGTCTTTATAAAGCTACCGAATAATACTCAAAGCTTTTGACGCCTCAACGAAACATGAACAGCATTTCTGGTGTCAAAGTCTTCGTAGGCATACTTATAGATCACTATCACCTCAAATTCTGTCACAGTGAAGGCCCTGGTACAATTTTTACATTGCGAGTTGTCTGTGTTATGTGAAATGGGGCCCGTGGCTAGAACCTTGACACAGCACGAGAACTTAGCGTCAGCAAGACGTCTTCTGATGTCATTATCAGCGCGCTAAAATCGAAGGTTAGCATCTCGGGCTCGCTATCATTGATCGTCGCGAGCGGCGGTTATTTTTCTCATGCCGATCTATATACAAGTCGGAAGTCTCGGTTCGAAAGTATATAAGAGCAATGAGTGACCCAGATGCAGTCTACTTCAAAAAGCAATCCCCATTTCCTTTCACTGTCATCTGTCACAATGTCTCAACCACGGCCCAAGAAACCGCAGTCGTTTAGTGGAATCAATCATCTCAAACTGCCCTGTAATGACATCCTCGAAACTGGAAAATTCTATGAAACTATTTTCCCCATGACTCGCATCCTGAAATACAACCACTACACCCCAGATCACAAGCTCTTTGCAATTATGCTCACGCACGAGCCCACCAAGCTAATAATCGAGCTACGCTACGTCCCCGAGCAAGCTGAAGCGCGGAAGGGCTGGGATCCTATCACATGGGGCGTGGGTACCCTCGTAGACCTAGGGGAGTGGGGAGCGTGGCTGGATGCGCATGGAGTGAGAAGGAGTAAGATCTTCACAGGGATCAAGGGTTGGGTCATGGCTTGTGAGGACCCCGACGGAAGGATTGTAAGATTGTATGTAGAGGATGAAGATCATGAGTGGACGGATCATCCTGATCAGGATGAATACTGGCTTGGAACTATTGCGGGGAATCCAACGGCCCAGGAGTAATTCAGGATAGGAAACATTGATAACTCCAATCGCCTATCGGGAAAATAGCACTACATAATTTGCAAGTTTAGGCTAGAACACTCTCAAGTCTGCAAAAGCCAACTCTCTCATCGTTTCATCCCACAACGCATTTTGAAGTGCTGTTCCACATTGCTCATACATGATCGGTGGGAATCTAGAAAGGTATGGTTAGCATAACTCTTGATACATATATGACCGCTCGGGGAAACTCGCGGCTTGATTTTGCCCTCGCTCATAAAGCTACCATGACTCTCGGCGCCTTGAACCGTCACAGCATCCACATACTGCCGGGCACCAACTGTAGCAGTCCGTCCAAGAACCAATGATGCAACATATAGAACCGCTTCTTCCAGCATTGAGCGATCCGCATGTCCAAACTGTGTTCCTCTGCATGCGCCGGGATTCGATACGTTGATAATAACTTCATTTGAGGGTATGCGCTTACTGAGTTCGCATGTGAACATCAGTAGCAAAAGCTTGGTGGTCTTGTAGGCCTCCCATGAGTCAAAAGAAGCTGGATTATCCATTGCTTCTCTAATAGGTTCGGAATCTCTGCCCTTCCAGTTTGCATAATATGATGTGTCGGATCCAACAAGACTCAGTCGTGCTGGTGATGTGGTTCCACGTTTCTCTCTGAGGATCGGAATGAGAATGAGAGCGAGGAGAGCTGTGGAGAGATAGTTGACCTGGAAAGTGATCTCATGGCCAGTTTCCTCTGCCCTTGTGTAGGTCGGTTGGCTTAGACCTGCATTGAGTATGGCGATGTCTAATAGTGGTAATGTCTCGCATTGCTTTGAAAAAGTCATAATCGAGTCATAAGATGACATATCAACGAGCCATACTCCAATCTGTGCTGAGGAAAACTCTGCCTGGAGCCTCTTGGCTGCTGCATCTCCTCGCTGTTTAGATCGAACGGCAAGAATTAAATGTGAAAGATTAAGTGCAAGTAATTGGCGGGCGCTTTCAAAGCCAAGGCCAATGTTGGATCCGGTAATCAGAGCGACTTGACCAGATAGATCCACGGTGTTTGGGATAGAGGGAATGGATTGGAAGAGTTGACGCCATATAAAGGCGAAAGGGGTCGCTTCAGTGGCAGCTTGGTGCTTGAGATTTGCAGACATTGTGAAACTTGGCTCTAGAAAAAAGGATTGTGACTAGAAATTATAGAATATGAATACTGTCTTTTATAGCCGTTGTCTGGTCAGATTGGTGGGAAGGGTCCAAGATGCTGAAGCAAATGACCTGGTGGCTTCCCATGAGTATGGCAGACTCTTGTAAACTTCACGTAATCAGCCTTCTGAACAGCCTTGTTTCCAAACTAAAGTGATTAGCAGTGGGACATAACATATGGCAAATTTTATGTAATCATTCTTGAATTTGCGAAGAATCTTTTTGCCAAGATTGAGCATCAGCTCTAAAGAGTTCAGTCGCTTCGGGGAGTTAGCTCGGATGGTTCCGTATTCTCCCCGAAAATGATTTAGTGCTGGAAAAGTGTTGAATGAAAGTGGATATGGAACCAAGTTGAGGGTGATAATCCATGGTCCCAAACGCTGGTTCCGTTCTTTAAAGACTGATTCCAAACAGGGTCCCATAAGTCGTTACGTATAAGTATCTATAGCAGGTGATAGGCTAAGCATGAGTAAGAAAGATGTAATGAATCGAATTCGTCAAGTCATATGCATAACGTTGCCATAAAAACTCAGAAGGTGGGCTAGTGCATCAAGCCAGGTACTTAAGACAGGATTAGCTCCATCGAATTTTTCCAGAATCTAAGAAGACAATCAGTTATACATTCACAATCAGGGGTCTCTCATCACCAATACTCAAGTGCCAATATGACTATCCAGCAACAGCAACCTTCTCAGGCCATTCCTATCCTGACCTCACAGAACGGCTCTGAAGTCAAAGATGCAAACAAGGAGATCGTTCAAAATGTCCCTGCCAAGGAAGTTCAATACTTCAACCCCGAGCAGCTCCCCGCTCCCGGCCTCGGCTTGAGCGGCCCCAACGGTTCTCTACCAAAGATCTTTACGCCCATCAAGATCCGTGGCATCATGATGCCCAATCGCATTTGGGTCAGTCCCATGTGCCAATACAGTGCCCGCGACGGCTTTCAGTAGCCCTGGAACTTCGCCCATTATGGTGGACTGGCCCAGCGTGGCCCTGGTTTCGCCATGCTTGAAGCCACAGCTGTTCAAGCACGAGGCCGTATCACACCTGAGGACTCGGGTATCTGGCTGGACTCACACGTGGAAGGACTGCGAAAGCACGTTGAATTTGCACACGCCAACAACTCTCTCATCGGTATCCAGATTGGCCATGCCGGTCGAAAGGCGTCCTGTGTTGCTCCGTGGTTAGACGCTGGACTTGCCGCCGAAAAGGCCGCGGGCGGATGGCCCGATGACGTTGTGGGCCCTAGTGATGAGCCTTTTGCTCCAGGGTATCCTACACCCCGTGCTATCACTATCGAAGAGATTGAGCAGCTTAAGGAGGACTTCGTTTCCGGAGTGCGTCGAGCGGTTGAGGCTGGCTTTGGCGTTATCGACTTCCATTTTGCTCACGGCTATCTCGTTTCAAGCTTCCTGTCCCCTGCTACCAATAAGCGAACCGATAAGTACGGCGGGAGCTTTGAGAATAGAGTCAGACTTGCCCTTGAAATAGTTGAGGATGCTAGAGCCGTTATGCCCGATCATATGCCCTTGTTCGCTCGTATCAGTGCTACCGACTGGCTGGACAATAACCCTGAGTACGAGGGAGAGAACTGGAATCTCGAGCAGAGCATTAAGCTTGCACACCTTTTGGCAGAGCGAGGGGTTGATGTTCTTGATGTTTCTAGCGGTGGTATCCACAAGATGCAAAAGGTTGCTGCTGGTCCCGGTTACCAGGCTCCATTTGCTAAAGCGGTAAAGAGGTCTGTTGGGGACAAGCTCCTTGCCAGCACTGTCGGTAGCATCAAGACAGGCACCCTTGCCGAGGAGATCATCCAGGGCGGCAAAGACGACACCCCATTAGATCTAGTAGCTGCAGGTCGTCTGTTCCAGAAGAACACCGGACTCGTTTGGTCGTGGGCTGATGATTTGAATCCCTCCATCCAGATTGCTCACCAGATAGCCTGGGGCTTTGGTGGTAGGGCTAAGAAAAATGCCCCGAAGCCTGTGTTGTAAGGAATAAAGTTTATAGATAGATAGAAGTCTCAGGGTTAAATTTAGAACTTAATATATTAACTTAATTCCAGTCAATTAGCTAAACTATCTTCTTCTAGCTTCAGTATAGGTACTCCTTTTAGGTCTTAGATATCGGGTTATTCAAGACCGAGAGACAAATCACCCTACGTCATTTGTCCTGCACTCTTTCACCTTTACAAAAACACTGCCCCTTCCCAGCTATATATCCCCAACCCTGTCAATGCTTCAATCGTTACCTACAAGTGGTGTCCGATCATGTCAACCGTAAGGAACCTTCCCGTCGGCGCTGACTTGATAGTCGCCCACCACGCTAACTCTTACGACTACATTTCACCTTTGAAATTGGACTTAACCGGTCAGCATATCCTCATGACTGGTGTAGCAGACACAGGCAGAGTGGGATATGATACTGCTACAGCTTTCGCGCTCGCAGGAGCATCTCGAATTGCATGTTGCGATCTACACGATATATCTGATGACATGATCGGCGAGTTGAAATCAGCTGCGAAACTTGCCAATCGCGAAGAGCCTCTGGTTTTGGTTGACAAAGTTGACATCTCGAGCCAAGAAAGTGTCAAAGCAATGTATGACTCTATAGCTCAAGAGTTCAAGGGGCGACTGGACGTTCTTGTCAACAATGCCGCGCATATGGAACCATACAAGCCTTTTCTTGAGTCTGGCCCTGACATCTACTGGCGAACATGGGAAGTAAATATCCGAGGTCTCTTCAACATGGCACGCGCATTCCTCCCCATACAGCTATCGCGTTATTCCAAATTTGGCAGCTCTTGTACCATTATCAACGTATCGTCATCAGGAGCTCTGAGTGTCCGCCCCGGTAGCGGAAGTTATCGAATCTCCAAGCTCGCAGTGCTTCGATGGACGGAGTCGCTGCAAGTCGAATACGGAAAACAGGGACTTTTAGCTCTCTGTGTCAACCCTGGAGCGATCAAAACAAAGATCACCGAAGGGGCGCCTGAAGCAGTCAGGAATGCACTTCCTCATCGGCCAGATATAGCTGGTGATACGATTGCTTGGCTAGCTTCTGAGCGCAGGGATTGGCTTGGTGGAAGATATGTGAGTTGCCCATGGGATATGGAGGAGCTTCTTGCTAAGAAGGATGAGATTATTAATGAGGATAAACTTAAGTTGAGAATGGTTGTTTGATCTTGTGTTCATAATACTACTAATTCTCCTTCCAAGTTACACAGTCTGACTGCATTATTCTCTTATCCAATGATTACTCCACAACATCTCGAGTGATAACCCACAGCTTCTTTGAGAAAGGGCCCTTCGAAACCCATGTGATATGCATGCCCGAAGCCAAACCAATTGCATCGCCTGCCCTGAAGTTATGCTTCTTTCCACTAAGTGTTTCTGTGACCTCAACTTCACCCTCAAGCAGAAGAATAGTTTCGTCGCCAAGTACCCCAGTATAAGGTGTCGTCATAGTTCCATCTTCAGTCAGATCAGAAGCCGCAATCCCCTTTCCAGATCTCCAGACTCCACTCAGCATGGTTCCAGTTGATCCTCCATTACGAATGAAGTACAACTCGCCAGCCACAAGATCTCCTTCCTTGGGCTCAGTGAAATTGTAGTCAACCCAGTCGGGACTGTCACTGACGTGGTTGATGAGAAGATCAGTGGGCGGGTTGGCAGCAGCTTTGGTGCCATTCCAGATACACCAGTACTTCTTGAAGAAAGGAGCGTCAATCTCCCAGTAAACCTCAAGTCCTTTGGGAGAGCTGATGATTGATCCAGGACCAACTTTGTGTTTAGCACCAGTCGAGACCACTGTCAAGGTGGCGGACCCGTCAATAACGCATGCAGTCTCGTCGCCCAAGGGGGAGGAATAGGTGAGGTTGTGCGACCCGTCGCTGTTGGCACCTGGGGACGTGGCACTCGTTCTCCAGAATCCGGAGGTGAGATCGCCAGAAGTGCCAAAGGTTCGGGCAATGGTCACCTCGCCGTGAACCTGCTTGCCCAGCTTGGGCTCTTCCCATTCGAAGTTTGTCCAAGTGCTGTCAGGGGAGGATTGTTTGCCGCCGTGGACAACGTGAGTGGTTGGTTGAGACATGGTGATAGTATGATAGATTGGTAGAATTGGTATCCGGTTATTTATTGATTGGTAGTTAAGAAGGTTCTGAGTTCAAATGATGGATATACTCGAACCTATTTGTACTTGATCGCGAGTACTGTATTGCGGCTATAGCTATGCTTCCAACGCCCGCGAGACCATGTCAGCTCTAGCAAGTATCTCATTTGCGACATCAAAGCGTAAGTCTGTCACTATTGACTGTGTGGTCAATGATAATTTGGCTGTATCTGTCCCACTATTGGTCAGATTTCCGGCCGTCCATATACTCTCCCCGAAGTCCTGAAATAAGGTTGAGGACAACATGGGGTAGGATGGGATCCCCTCTCGGTGAGCCGGTGCGGGGTGCACAGCTTTGATACTATTTGTCCAATCTCCGATGGCCAGAATCTGTGCGGTAGGATGTTTTCTGTTTGTTTCTGGTAGATCTAGCCAGGGCATGTAGATTCTGATTGTGTGTTTTTCCCAAACTGGAAATTTTACTGCTTTGTTCAAGAACATGCATGCGGTCGGAAACACAGCCAATGAAAATGAGTGGAAAACAAATACCCGGGACTAACGAGCTCGCCAGACAGCCGATATGTTCAGACCATTCCGCTTATGGAATCGCTCAACATGATCCCAAGACCAGTCTCGCCGAGATAGATAGAGATAATATTTATAGCAGGCCTTTTCTAGACTTTATTTCAACACACAATTACAGATCTGATCACGTTCCTCTTCATTTTCATTTCAATCCAACTTTCAATCCAATTTTCAAACAACAAGGACGACAAAATGCCTATCTACCTAAGCATGCAACGCGTTCGCTTCTCGAGCCCAGACGCCTATGAGAAATTCAAGGTATGTCTTGGAAAACAATCTGCGGTTCACCTCGACTGATAGACTTCAGGTGCTATTCGCTGATACTCGCCGTCACCTCATGACCCTTCCTGGTTTTTTGCATCTGACATGGTGGGAGCATCCTGATGATCGAAGCTGGTACAACGAGTGTAGCTTCTGGACCAGCCGAGGCGCTCTCTATGATTGGCACAAAAATACCTATCACAAGTATTGCAAGTCATGGGCCGCAAACGGTGCAATTATGGAGGATATCATTACCAATTTTGAACTTGTCGGCACTCGCCTTATCCGAGTCTGCCCTGTATGCAACAAGGCAGAAGACAAGAAGTACAACCTGGCTGAGGAACAGGCTGTGTTGAAGGAGACATGCCCTCAATGCGGATTCCATTTCCCCATGCTTGAAGAAACACCTTCTAGCTTTGCTGTTTTCAAGGATGTACCTGGCCTACTGATGAACGATAAAGAGGATAAGCAGAAGGAAGAGGCCAAGGCATAAGGTACAAGACACAACATGAGATTAGAACAATAGCTCAAAATAGAAAAACATCTTTAAAATCAATTACTGAGTCGCTTTATAAAGTCATGGCAATATGCGTCTTTGATAGATGATTTAATTTAGATTTATATATTTAGTATATTTTATATAATTATTACAATTATCTACCGTACTATATATTTATCTTGCTTGCTCAGATCCTTTGCGTCTATGTTAAACTTATAGGATATTCTCATTCTCTAATATATCTACTTTATAGAATCAGTCAGGCGATACACTGCGCATAATCATTGGCCCAAACAGTCATACATGGCTCTTTGTCACTGCTGGGACAGTCGGAAAGATAGCCAATTATAATCAATGTATATGAATCAACCATGACATCACACTCGGGCCACCTGCTCGGGCTCACATGACAGGCTCGAGATAAGAGACAACTGGATCTTCATATCAGTGTCCCTTAGATGGCTAGCGCAAACTCAAAACAGGCCGTCAACTGATAGCCGATAGCGAGGTGCCGTGAGAAGCCAATCTTTGAACGATGATTCGTGGGTATGTGCCGGGGTCATGCAAGCTAACACTCGTTGCGGGGCTTACCCCGCGCTTTCCACGGTCTAGACTGTGATAGAGGGCTAGGAGTGAGGAAATACAGCAAACAGGCTTCAGTGGGAGATTAACGACTTTTGGTGGAACCTGTTTGGCTGTTTTTCTTTACCCCGAGTGATGGGTTATCATAGCTGAGGTGCGGGGATGCTGGCTTCATTGGGCCAGTTCATTAGTACCCATACCGAGAATCCCCCGAGATTAGATACGTGACAGAGGGGCTGATATCCGCACAGCCGGTTTTGTGTATGTGTGTACACATGACAGACTTGAAGCTGACACCTCCAGAAACCTTGATTTATCTGCCGTACATAGCTTTTGTTCCAATTTTGGTCGTATACTTCCTGACGCATCATGGCAAGATCAGATACGCCGTCGGCTCATGACTCTTTGCATCAGCGACCTGCTCGAGGTAGAGCTGCCCCTCGATCCCGACTGGGGTGCGCTACTTGTAAGCGGCGGCACGTGAGATGCGATGAGGCATATCCCTCATGTCAACCTTGTTATCGGTTACAGCTCCAATGCTACTATCCACATCGCTCGAAACGAGCCTCGGGACCGCCAAAACATCGACCATTACTTCCTTCCCCTACTGTATCGGGCCCTTCGTTCATCAATCCATCCACTGCTTGCATTTCAGGCTCACCCAACCGACAAAATTCTATCGTCTGTGTACAAGAAGGGAACGAAGGTGTGGCTGAGTTCGATTCATTCTCATGGTCTGATAGTAACATGGCCAGCGACATCATCACCCTTTGCAACAGTTGGGAAGGAGAACTCTTTGGTAGCTCCAAGTCCCTGTCGTGCAGCACTGGCCGTCCAAGTGTTGATCAGGATGTGATGGCTTGCTCTTCAGTCTCAATGATATCTGAGCCTTCGGACCTAGGAGCTTCCAATGATGCAGCGACTCTCTGGAGGGCGGTCATTGGTAGTCCTCCCATTGCCAGTACAATCTCGACACAGACAGAGGATCAATTCCAGCTCGGCAGCCTTGCAGCTCCTGAGAGCTTGGAAAATAGGCACTCGTTAAAGGTCTTTGGCAAGATAATGCAACCACCTGCGGCCATGTTAATGGGGGGCATCAAGAAGTGGCGACACTTGCAACAGTACCTGATGAACTTGGCATCTCAGAACGATGTCGTAATGAGTGCTTTGTTAGGTCTTGATAAGCTTCTTGAGTGGGATAGCATTCGTGACTCTATCACTACGAGATGCGATATTCAAGACCACGTACTGAATTCGTTCAACACAACAACCTGCGCGATTCAACAGGACCTTTCTCAAGTCGAATGCAGCAAGGTCAGCTCCAAGATGGATGATTGGCTAGCTGCTATATTCCTGTTAGCGTGGACTCATGTTCTTCGCGATCGTGTTGAATACGATAGTGGGTGTCTATTCCCCACTGAACTTGCCGATACCATCATTACATGCTCCCATGACTGGAATTGGTACTCGAGACAACTTCTCTCGTGGTTCAATTCCCTCGATAGCAAAGCCTCTCATTTAAGTGGTCCGACTCTTTTATCATCCAAGGCCCTCCAAGTTGTTTCTCAGTACCCTATTCAGATCATCAGTTGCGACTACGAAGAGTCTAAGTACAGAAGAGACTCGCTTGGGGAGGACGAAGACTTCCAACTACTCTCTCAAAGTCCTTTGTCTGAAGTTTCTGAACATGGCGACAGTGGGATCGTCGTCCCGGCAAGAAGTCCTTGTGATATAAAGGAGATCATACTCCGCGCAATCCTACAGCCTGCTTCGGAGTGGTATCTGAAAACGCAAGCGTATTGCCGCCAGATCAGCTCCCTTGACAAGCACCACTGCAATCGATTTACCCCAGACGCGGAGATGAGAGTTTCTCTAGAGGGTAAACGAATTCACAGCAAGCTCTGGGACCTGTGGGCGCAGTGTCCTTCCGTGATATCCTTGTCCACGGCTGAACTGTCGATGTCAGTGGCTGCCGATGTCGCCATGAGGGTACGAGAGGTTTCCAACGTATACCTAGCGAGCTTCTGGATCTTATTCGTTTATCTCCATCGCATCTGTTGGTGGCATCTTCCGCACACTGAAGCGGTAACGGGCGCACTGGAAAAGACGTGGGAACACATGAAGAATTCGTATGGGGAGTCGGACGACAGGATCCAAGAGAAGACAGTGCATCCTGCTCTAATGTGGCCAGTTTTTGTTTTTGGGGCAGAATGCAAGGCTGGTGAACACCGCATTTGGGCCATTGAACAACTCAAGGCCTTGGGAAGAGCGAGACCGGTACTGAAGTCTGAGGCCCAGAGTCCAGAGAATTTACCAGCATTTCGTATCAGCCACGGAGCCACAAAGAATGCGAAGCGGGCTGCGCTTTTGCTCGAGGCACTTACTCGAAAACAAGAGGAGACAAATTGCAGAGTCGATGAGAGGGATCTGGCCATGGACATGTTTAATTGTTATTTCTCAATAGTATAGTTCCGAAGTTAACCTTTAAGGAAAAGTCAGAAAGCAATCCAGTGCTCGGCTTCAATCATTCGTCTGTAGTTCATAAGCAAGCTTACCCCCAAGCTGCCTCTCAATCTATCTTGTTGTCGCACCCTTGAAAGTTTGGCAATAGGCGACTCTGACAATATCTTGGAAACCATGAAGCCCACCAGGCCAAATGCGAAGTTCAGCTGATACCCTATGTTTCCATAGGTGAAACAAAGACAGCTGACTGATAGTGGAATATTCCTCATGAGCCAGCTTCTATGAACGTCGAGGGAAGGCCAATGAGGTGTTCAGTTCGCTTAGGGTTAGTATTATCCCGGCTACCCGGCAGTGTTTACACAACGACATTGCCCAACTAACCGCAATTCTTGGGGCGTTTGCAGCGGCTTGGATATACACTAGATTTGTCGCAAATAAACAAACCTTATTGCCTAGATCATTTCCCTGGCTGACGTCGCCATCCAGTTCTGGTTTAGTAAGAGCCTTGGCATTCTTACCCGTGTCAGACCCTCAGGGCATCAACTCTTACGGACAAGGATCTATGTCATGTTTATTAGGCTTTGGTATACTGATCTACCGATCAGAAGTGATCTTACAGGTAAATATCCCTTGGCAAGGCGCTTGGCATGGATGTTTTGCCGACTTAGCCGCGCTGGGGCCCTTTGAACTAAAGCTTTGAAACTGGGGAGACACAATTGGATTGGATATTCGTAAACGAGTCCTTGGACTTGACTCATGTTTGCTATACAGAAGCTACCTTCAAATTCTTGCTTGATCACTGTAACCACATGTACGAGGCACTATTGACAGCATATCAAGCCTCACATCGAGATACACTTCGCAATTTTGTATCTGGGTCTATCAACCCAACCGACTCCAGGTTACGCGCTGTCCAATGGGAAGTTCGATGAAGCCCTAGGCTTTTGCCCATCTAGAGATCGCAATACGCTCCCCCCTCTTTGACCCTGATGCTTTGGCCAAGAGTTGGTTCTGGACCCTGTGGATCTTAGTTCGTGATGTGGGCGAACCCGACTTGCTTGGGCTAGTTTGCTATCTGCTAAATTACAATGAACGTGCGCCAGAATTTGTCTCCTGATGGTTGCATATGTATGCTCTAGACTCTAGACCTCTTGTCTCTTTCCTCACCTGACCTGTACCATCAGCCGCTGTATCTATGTTTAGAAGCCGAAACTCTATTCAAACGCTCTTTACCCAGTTTCATCCTCGATGTTACCTTTAAATGATCTGATCGCCATTTAGAGTTTATACTTTTCTTTTTTTTTCCCTTCTCAGCTTCAACAACGGTGCTCCAATCCTCCATGGACTTGAGTATCTTAACCCGCGGATTTTTGCTTCCATTGCTTCTCAGGGTGCTTTACTGTTACGTGCATACCATCCACATGGGGCCAATCAGAACTCTGACTGAGCCAAAGCATGCTTGTCCTCCGTTATTTTGAGTTTTAGTATGAAGGACCTGTCTCACGCCACTCCTTCTTGGTCTTCTCCGAAAAGTCCGAATCATGCTTGTAACTTCTCTCTTTTCCAGCGACCGACTTCAGGTCTCGTGCCGTGCTGGCAATGCACCAAATCGAGAAGTTATGTGATTTCCCGTTGCTTTAGTCGGCGTCATGAAGTAAATTCTCAACTTGATTGCTGTCACGATTCAAAATGTATATGTTTGAGTGTGGTGGCTGTAGGGAAGATGCGTTGATTGTTGCTCTTGACTCAACTCCAGAACCTTAGATGACTATAGAAGGCCTGTCAGTTTTGTCTCGTCGGCTCCATCGCCATGTTCCGTTAGACAACCTATGCTGCGACGGGCATCGTGCCGTCTGAAACCCCTCAGTTGATACACTCCCTGTTAACGCGTGGAATATGAGGCGGCAAGTGGTGAAATTGAGTTTTCATATGTCGTTTTCGAGATGTTTTCCGGCCGTCTCTGTAGCATCCTGTCGCTCTGGCATTCCCTTCTCAGTTGCTCAAGAGCGGTTCGAGCTGCGTGAAACCTATGATTGGACGCATCCCCTGTTCATGGGTAGAAAAAGAAGACGCGGTGAGACCGTGACGGTGAGTGACGAAGTGGGTTCTCAGCGTGCCGTTTCCGAGATATGTTCTTGGCCACCCATAGGGCATCTTGTAGTTCTGGCAAGTCCCCCTCTGCCAAGTCTACTATTCAAGAAGTGGTATGGAGGTTGCGACTGTCATCGCTCCACCTGAAACCTATTAGTGGGTATAAACACTATAGATATACCGTCTCTGCGTGGAGACTGACGCGCGGACGCCGCGCGGCTGGTAACAAGAGCGTGGAATCGTGACTCGCTAAGCTTCTGCCAAGAGTTCGACAGATTGAGATCGTGGATCTGTAGTGTTTTGCAGATCATTTCCATAATCATAATTCGGGGGGTTCCTTTTGAGAATCTACTATATTAGACTTATATTCTCCCGTAACTCTATCCAGACAGTTCGCATAGTCTGACTGGTAATCCAAATCAAGCTATCAGATCGTCTCATCAAAGAATTGTTCAATTGACCAAGATCGTCTGCCTTCCAACCATGTTCTTCTCTGTACTTGCCGTTCTGGCTCTGGCACTCCCAGTACCTGCCATATCATCCAGCAACAACACATGCACACCTGAAAAGATTCAGACACGTATTGAATGGGCGAACATGAAAAGTGCTGACCAGCAATCCTACTTGAAGGCAGTAAAGTGTCTTATGCAGCTGCCTGCTCGGACAGGCATAGAGGGTACAGTCACAAGATTTGACGATATGAATGCCATGCATCAGGTGTAGGCGAAGACAATTCACCTTGTCGTCAGTATTCCCCTATCTATTCTATCGGGTTAGAGAATGCATTTCGCTAACTGAGCTTCCTCAATTACAGGCGCAGTTCCTGCCATTTCACCGTCTCTACATACATGTGTACGAACAGCTCTTGAGAGACGAGTGCGGTTACAAGGGCCCAACGCCGTGAGTACTACCACTGCAACTTTCTTTTCCTGTTCCCTTAGCTGACAATATGGGTAGCTGGTGGGACGAAACCCGCGATGCGGGCAATTTCATGGACTCACCGCTCCTTGATCCCGACACAGGATTCGGCGGTAACGGGACTGGTCCAGATAATTGTGTCACTGATGGTCCTTTCGCAAATACCACTCTTCACATTGGTCCCGGCCAAACCTTGACTGATCATTGCTTATCCCGCAAAGTCAACGAGATCAACAGTACCCTCGGCAACGAAACCTATGTTCAGGAGTGCCATGATAAGAGCACCTACCTCGATTTCTGGGAGGCGACCGGTTTCAAAACCCACGGTGCCGGTCATAGTGGAGTAAGTACAACCGGAGTAGATATGTAAATATCCGACTAATCGGGGTTATAGGTTGGCGGAGTCATGGAGGATATCGATGCGAGCCCCGGAGGTAAGTTTATATATTCGGGCGCCGGCCTCGTGTCCCAATTACAGGCTAACCATCTTAGACCCGCTCTTCTATATCCATCACGGTTTCATCGATCGCCTGTGGTGGAAGTGGCAGTCCGAGGACCCTGCCAGTCGCTTATATCAACTGGGAGGCCCTTCCATCCAGGGCGGAACTGAAGAGACGACTCTCGACTACGTCATGACTACCTACGGCATTCGCCCCAATGTTACTGTCAAGGAGGTCATGGATATTCAGGGCGGATTTCTCTGCTACAAGTATGACTACTAAGAGACGGGACAGGTGCTGGAATGCTCTCACTTCATAATGTATTGGTGCTTATATTCTCACATTGTAAATATTTAGTCGCAATAATTCGATAGAGCAGTAGCAGTTATGCTAAATGTTATCAACTAACCAAACCTATGCTCCTCTGTCATGTATTGATCATTAACTTTGAATGGGGCGCATGGAAGAAGAACTGCGATTACCCGAGCCCGGTGCGTCTTAGAGGCGTTAATCCATGTGTGCATAGTTGCCCGCTGAACGATGTGATCCTCCGCGCCACGACTGTTAGCAGTGTTTTAAACGTAAGACCGTCAATCTGTAAGAAAATTATTATGGGCTTACCCCAGGTTTCAAGAGGACCTTTTGGCCACTATCAAGCTCATGATATACCTCTCCCATTACAGAAGTCGAGATATCCAAAGACACTGTTCGATGCATATGACCCACCGCACCAGGGTCGATGTCGAGATTTATCACATTTGCCCCTCCCAGCTCAACCTGTCCTGTTTGAGTGTTCAATCCTGACGAGGGAACGAGAAATTCTGTACCCCGGGTGTAGCTAGTAGGAGAGCTGTGTGAAAGGTGTGCCTTCAGGTCTTGATCATCCGCCAATTCTGCGGGTAGCTTCAGAGTAGCATAAGAGCGTGATGCTGTTCCAAAGCCAGGCACTTCCGCAGTGCATAAATCGGGTGCATCTATGTAAATACTTTCTCCAGTGTTCAGGTCATGGCCTGTTATGTATCGTTTGACTGGTTGAGCGATTGCCGTGATTCCATCCCTAGAGCTTTCTTGTGTGGAGGGACTCATGGTACAGGAGAGATGAGCAGGTATTAAACTGAAATACATATAATATTATGATCAGTCAGCAGTCGTTTACAATTGGGGGACGTAGTAATAAGACACTTGACCTGAGTCATATAATTGCAAGGATGATGCATACTAGGGGAAGAGATTTAAGGAAACTGGAATTTTTTTATTTTCATACCATGGGGTAATGGCGCTTGGGAGGCGAGCAATACCGTAATAGATCTGTTCCGGTCCAATTTCCATTAAATTTACTTGCATAAGGTCTTGGTAGAAGAGTCAACTAGCAAGGTCATTTCATGCATGGCAGAGTCAACCATTAATATCATTTCTTCACACCCAGTTTACAAGGGCAATCACAACTGCTGCATCTACCAATTTCCTTTCTATCGGCTATATGGATTTGAATCTCTAGATGTGCCTGTAGCTATTTTTTCCTGCTGTACAGCAATTGACGTTACATGCGAGATGCCTTTTGGCTTGGAGTCGGGGTCAATGGCATGAGTTTGTTTCTCATCTTGGCTTTTCTGGATGAGACCTGGTACAATCTTGATTTACCTTCATCTGCCCAACCATCGCGAGGCCAAGGTTTCCTCTCTAGGCTGCTGCGACTCACTGGCCTATGGCAGGTGAAGTATCACTCTGGATACTTCGAGTCCGTTTATGATGCCTACAAGAGAGTCCTCCTCATCCTGTCGAAACCTGTCATTCTCCTCGTCCTCGCTGCTTAGTAAGTTTCTTCTGCACTTTTATGTAACAGTCAAAGATCTAACCAAGTATCCCCAGCTTCATGTGCTTTGCATGGGCGATCGGTGTGAATATTTCAACCGCCATCCTCTTTGGTCTTCCTCAGGAAATGGGAGGCTATGGCTACAGCTTTACTCAACTAGGATACCTACACTTTGCTCCAATCGTCGGCGTTTTCCTGGGCGAGATATTTGGTCACTTCTTCAACGACCACCTTACTCGACGCTATGTCCGAAAGCACAACGGTGTTTTTGAGCCTGAGGCTCGTCTCATGACCATCTACATATCGGCTGTCCCCATGATCGCAGGCCTCGTCCTGATGGGACAAGCCCTGAATAAGCATTTGTCAGTGGCAGCAATCGTCGTTGGATGGGGTATGCATGCGTTTGCAATCATGCTCACGTCTGTCGCCGTGGCTTCATACCTTTTGGATGCGTACCCATCTGCCCCTGCAGAAGTCTGTGGTTTGACCAACGTGTTCCGAGCTTTGAGTGGTTTCAGTGTCGGATATTACCAGCAGCCGTGGGGAGCCAAGGTTGGTTACGATGTAAGCTTTGGGACTCAAGCTTGCATTGTAGCCGCGAGTATGATCCTGATCGCGATTGTTCATCGGTTTGGCCATCAGCTCCGTTTGAAGTTTGGCCAGGTTCGGTGAAATAGTGAGGTCTGAGATTAAGAGGGCGCATTGGCGTAGACAGTATGTGGGCCTCGGGGAGTGCGTTTGGCGTCGTTGTGCTAGGTCTGCCTCGGGAAGGTCGTTAAGGTCAAGGTTTTTAATACTCCGAGCCATCCGAGCTCTATTCATCTGCCGAAGTATTATCTCCACATTGAAGTCAAGGAGGGGAGGTGTTTTCTTCTCTAAGTAGGATCAAGCCTGTAAACCTTAATTAATTCTTACTGCTAATAAAAGAAAACAATTATGTTTAATTAAACTCTATATAATTAAAACTTTATTGATAAATCTTATATACTGAGATCTGTTCTCTCTTCAGCAAGGCTATTTGTTTTTGCTGTTCTCTATTCTATATATTCCTTTTTTCTGTTTTAGTCACTCGTTTAAACTTCTTCATCATGCAGTCACTCTTTCTACCCCTTATGGTATTAACCACTGCGGTGGCGAGCCCTGTTTCCAAAATAACGTCACTCGTTAAACCCGGCTTTGCTCCAACATTCATTGAAACCTTCATCGGCTATCCAGGATCGCTTCCCTCATCTTCAAACTGGATCTTTGATCTTGGAACTTCGTACCCAGGCGGAGCAGAACGATGGGGAAATAACGAGTTCGAAACCTACACCAAGGACCCTTCCAACTTATATATAACTGAAGATCAAAACTTGGCTATTACACCACTGTTCAATCAGGGTAAATGGACATCCGCGAGGATAGAAACTCAACGAAGCGATTTTGTTGCTAAAGAAGGAGGGAAATTGCTTGTTGAGGCGCGCCTCAAACTCGGAGGAGCGCCAGCCTCAAAGATGCAAGGCATCTGGCCCGCCTTCTGGGCTTTGGGCAGCGAGTTCAGAGGTAACTACACAAACTGGCCAATGGCTTCAGAGTGGGATATTCTCGAGGCGATCAATGGCGAATCTAAGATTTATTCAACCATCCACTGCGGGTTTGCTCCTGGAGGACCATGCAACGAATATAGCGGAATTGGAAGCGGAGGCAGGGACTTTACTAGGGGCGAGTTCCATACGCTAGGCTTCATGGTTGACAGGAGCATGTGCGGCGAGGGGAAAAATGCGTCTTGGCGGGACGAGTCGCTGAACTGGTTCCTGGATGGAAAGAAAATCTTCAATGTCACAGGTGCGACTGTTGGGGATGAGCCAAGCTGGGTGAAGCTGGCGCATAAGGAGCATTTCCTGCTGCTCAACGTGGCCGTCGGTGGAAACTGGCCTGGCCCACCAAACAACGCTACAATTGATGGGCCCTCGGTTAACATGGAAGTGGATTATGTAGGTGTTTGGAACTCGTTGTAAGAGGATTATATCATCAATCCTGGCTTGTACTTCATTTCCAGTATGTATTTTCGATAGTAACATTTTAAGACTAGCTAGTTTAGGCATTATAACAGTCTATCTAGCAAGCAATTTCTATCCCAAGATCTGAACATGTATCAATAAGCCAAAAGACTCAATGTACATCACTGCGAAGCTGGCATGGCTTTGAACCGAGCAGGTGAGTTCGTTGACCCGTCTCCCTTTGCTTCCGTGGCCGCTGGTGGGGCTTTGGCGGGATTTCAGAACAACGCGTTGTGACAACGCGCTACTGACAGCGCGTCTCAGATGGTGTGCGGGGACAATCGCCTATTCGCTCATGTATCATCCCTCAAGATGGAACTTGGTGATGGTGATGACCTCGGAACGGAAATGAACAGGACATGTCCGCGAGGAGCTTTTGACTTCTCAATCCTGAACAACAGCGCTTGTTCCAGATGTCTTCCGGACGCTTCCGAGCTCAGAACAATGAGCTGATCAGGAATCGGCACACGTCTGTCTTGTTGTGCACGACAGCTTCTGGCCAGTCCACAATGCGCCTGTTTTATATGCGAAGTCCACGATAAGAGCCACGATTAGTTCATCTTACTTATCCCTTCCGTTTCTATCTAGAATGTGCTTGTGCACATACGTTCGTGAGACATATTCGTTATCATAATCGCGACAGACATCTTTCACATTGACTGTCTTGTCGGCGCCAAAAACATGGCACAAACTCATTCTCCTGCGGGATTTCGCGATTACATCCCGGCCGCGGATGCCCCAAGAAGCATACAACTGGCAGAGTCTGACACCTACCAGTGGGCTGGCCATCGATGCTCAGAGCCATTCATGATCGGGTGGATGAAGGCTTGGAAAGAACGCTACGATGAGCCTTATCGGGGCATCACAGCAGATGGAAAGGTGATCCCCAATCTGTTCCGTCTGGCAGACAAAAATGAGAACTTCGGTGCTCCAATGCATGCTGTGGAGGCTGCCCAGAACGCCATCATTGTTGCCTCAGAAGAGGAAAGAGAGAAACTTCTGAGACCGGTTGATGCACCAGAGTGGCGGTTTTGGATGAATCCCGAGATTTATGTTTTCAAGCATGGTGTGCGACTGGAAGAAGCTTCCAAGGATCTTGTCGCAGCTTTACATGCTCTCATGCAAGCGAGTTTATCAGCCGAGGGGTATGAAAAGGCTCATGGTTGTATGAAAGTCAATCAATTCCTCGGCGAGGTAGTTAATGGCACTAAAGTTCTAAACGAGAACTCTTACAACTTTGTCATCTTCGGCAAACCATCCCCAGAAGAGCCGTGGGGCTGCCAGATATTCGGCCACCACCTCTGCATGAATTGCTTCATTGTCGGAACGCAGATGGTGGTGTCGCCTGTTTTTATGGGTGCTGAGCCTAACATCATTGACGCAGGTCCTCATGAGGGTCTTGAGCTTTTTGTTGATCAAGAACAGACTGCCCTCAACCTTATGCAGTCGCTTCAGCCTGAAATTCAAAAAGACGTTCAGATCTACAAGAAGCTGAGTGGCGACGAGTACCCTCCGGGACGATGGCATCGAGCAGATCAGCGACATCTCGGAGGTGCTTTTCAAGACAACCGTATAGTCCCATACGAGGGTGTCAGTGTGACAACATTCTCCGAGCCTCAACAGGCCGCGGTCCGCAAATTGCTCAAACTAAGTCTGAACTATCTCCCGGAGAAAGCACTAGCCTCCCACCTTGAACAAATTGCTAGCCACTGGGATGGCACGTGGTTCTGTTGGATTGGTGGATTTGGAGACACAGATGCCTTTTACTACAAGGTGCATTCTCCGGTCATCATGTTTGAGTTTGATCATCATTCGGGCGTCTTTCTCAACAATAAGGAGCCTCTTCCCTTTCACATTCACACTCTCGTCAGAACCCCAAATGGTAATGATTATGGGAAGCAGCTTTTGAGACAATATCAGGAGCGGATGAATAGAGTGTAGTCGCTATACTACAGATGCATTGCTGTGAACAACTGCCCCTGCAGATCTGGATGGAAATTACGGAGTTAAGGTATCTTGAAGTCGAGCGCCACTTACAGTCAATGCTTCAATCTCCGCTCGTATTCTATACGGTATATCAACACCCTCTAAATAGAGTTTTTTATCTATCGAGTGTCCACAATTAAACTTTTACCATTGTTCGGTAGTACAACTCCGCGTCAGTTGAAGCTCATCATTTCCTTTATTGAGCGGACTTTTGGCGTCCTAGCTTTCGGCATCCCATTTACATCAAGTCCGATCACATCACATCATAGCAACAGATATTGGTCTAAGAGAAGTACAAATACTAGACGTTACTGTGAGCCTAAGAAATGATCGAGCAAGCAAATTCAGCTTTTCTTCCTAAATCAAAACCACCTCACACAGTTTTCACAATACAAAATGTCCTCACCCCCTTCATCTGACATACCTTGGTTATTCAATGGCAAAAGTGCCATTGCGACAGGAGGCTCTCGCGGTATTGGGCAAGCCATTTCCATTCACCTGGCACGTAAGGGCCTCAGCAATCTGGCGATCACATATGCAAGCAAGATCGAGGCTACAGAGGAAACGCTGAAGAGATGCCAGGAACTTGGCGTGGAGCAACGAATCGCCATCAAAGCAGACGCCCTTGATCCTCGATCCTCAGTTTGGTCCTAAAACCATTGCCGAGGTGGTCAAAAGACTAGACACTATAGTTGTCGATATCCTTGTTAACAATGCCGTCTTGGCTAACCCTGCCAAAGTATTGCCGATTAAAGACACAACCTTGGATGTGTTTCTCTAGATAATGCATCCAAACGTTTCCGGTCCGGTTTCCGTCACAACGGCCCTGCTACCTCATCTTCCCGACTACGAAGGCCGAGTGATAAAAATCTCAAGCGTCTTAGCCTACCAAGCCAATAGCGATCCAACTGTCGCATATGGAGCTAGCAAAACCGCTCTCCAGAGCTACACCCGCGCCTTTGCCGAAAACTTCTCCAAGTCGAAGAAAGCAACGTTCAGCAGTGTCATTGTGGACCTGACAGCCACAGACTCGATCAAAGCCAGCCAGCACATGATGCCACCAGACTTTCTCGATGGGCAGATCCGAGACACTACTACAGGAGAAAGAATTGGTGTTCCCGGCGATATCGCCTATATCGTGAGCTTCGTTGCAAGTTAAGAGGGTCGTTGGGTTAACGGTGCTGCTGTAAGTGCTAATGGCGGTAATAAGCTTGTTATATCTGCCCTTGGCTAAAGCTCAATGGCTAGGACTTGGTTATAGAGGTTCCATTTAATCAAGTGTCCAGTCTTTACTGACATGGGAATGCTGGATACCGATACAGAACGGAAAGGTGTAGAAGAAACACAGTTGACAAACGAACCATGTCCCAGCAACGCGACATCCATCATCAAATGTATGGCACGGATGCAAGTACAAAGCTGACGCCCATCAGTGGTGCACGACAAGCTTTTAACCTGGAGAACTCCAGATCTCAACTGGTTTAGTCCTTGATAAATGTCATCAAGGCGAACAAGTTGCAACAGCCAGGGGAGAAGCGAAAGCCAACTGAACAGCCCTAGAGCTGACTGAAGATGATCTACCCCAGACCAATATGGCCTTGCTACAAGGTTGAGGGTTCAGGCTTGAAAGCGGCAAGCCTAGGTGAGAGCGGTGGTATAGGATCACTGCCTCGTGCAAGCTCAGATTTTGCGGGACTGGACAGACCAACGAGGCAACTAGAGTAAGGCAGAACTGGAAGCCACCAGATCCTGGGTCGTTCACTCCCAAGCGAATGCAGTATCTGGGTCACAATTAGCTTAGTTTGTTTATTCCTTGCACCATGGGGCAGAGGGGCTGGTTATCCCATTACACGTTGGCCCTCTTAAACATGCGCGACACCGTCGTTAACATCTTCAACATAACGTCCAATGTCAGCGCCAACGATGAACGGGTAGGCCTTTACAAAAAGTCTTGTTCTCTCTAACCTAGTGGACTTAACCGACCTGCATCATCCTGGCTTGACTTTCCCAGGGTGTCCTGGCGAGCCTATTGTTCTTACGAAGATTTCAAGTCCAATCAATCGAACTCTAATTCCTAGCAGGACACAGGATCACCGTCGGTTCATATTGTGCATGGTGGGCATTTATGCTTGTATTTGTACTGTACATATCTCCACAGCCGCACTTTGACAGAGCAATGCAGTTTAGGTTACATCAGCTTTTTCAGATTATGTTCCTGAGTAGCCTTGTTAGCAAAATGAGACTTGGGCAAGCATGAGTTGATGAACTTACTGGCTTATGACTAGTTTCATAGTCGATGTGCACAAAGGCACGCTCAATGACGGGCAGCTTCTCTAGCTTAATCTGGAGGTCTTCCGCAATGTCATGCGCTACTTCAACTCGCTCGTTGCGATCAATCACTATGTCGACCTCCGCAACAAGCCGGGGGCCTGAGTAGTAAGCCCTCACTGTATCGACCTTTTCTATGAGAGGCGAGTGTGTCATCGCTAAACAGTCGGTATTCACCTTATCAGCCATTTGGGGATTATACTCACAGATATATGTGATGAGCTGCAGGACGTCCTTGTCCGCAGTTACACCGATCATCAGTTGAAACTCGTCGTATGCGGTATGGAGCCAGAGGCCAGCGATGAGAACAGATAAAATGATGGCGCCCATCGGGTCAATCCACCACTTCAGTCTAGAGCCACCGACAGATGTGAGGATGCCAAAACCGTTGATAAAGAGATCATTTCGGTGATCACGCCAGAGTATATCAACCTGACTGTAGATATCCTTTACAGTCCAACATAGGAAGAAGAGTCCCAGCTTGGTAGCAAAGGCGACAATCACGGCGATGACCGAGGGCAAATGGAATTTGTTAGTCTCCTCCTCCGATCCGGCAGCGAGGTCACGGGCAGACATGACGATAAGCACCATTGAGACGGAAAACATAATGAAAGAGAAAACGATATTGCCAGCGGTCGAGATACGCGTTCTGCCCGAGGGATATTTACTCGGATCGACTTTGTTGACAGCCCGGTGAGCCATGTACAGCATGATACCAGACATGGGATCAAAGACAGAGTCGGCCATGGTTGTGAAAAGCGATAGAGAGCTGGATGAGATAGCGCCATATAGCTGGAGACCCGAGAGTATGATGTTGGCCACCAAAGAACCATTGACGCAGATGCCGTACATGAGTGTGTTGGCGCCGTGAGCCTCTGTCACCTCCTGCTCATGCTCCTCTACCGACTTGAGCATGGCTCGGATGCTCTGATTCTGTGTTTCATAAAATTCCTGTAACGGGTGGTTCTTCTTAAGACCCAGGTGACGCTTACGTGAAGGATTGGCTCCCGGCATATCGGATTCGTGCTTGATGTGCGCGGATAGACCCAAAGGATCATCGATATCATGTTGGACCTCGACATCTCTTCCTTGTAGGTGAGCGCGGGTATGTACTGAGCTCATCGTGATCTTCTCTGTCTGGTCGACCATGTTGGGTAGTAAGTTTCAGAACGGATAATGAGAAGAAAGAAACAAGAAACAAACAAAGCAAGGATATAATAGAGGGCAAAACGCACGACTCATATGACAGGTAATTGCAGGTTTCTGTCTCTCCAAATACAGGGAGCCATCTTCCCGGAGATTATTCTGTCATTCCTTCCCACAAAATAGTGGCGTCTGAGCATGGCGACAACACCGACGTTGGCATGTACCAGGACGCTAATCACCTTAGGCTGACTTGGCAGACCAGCCCTGCCAGCCCATCATGTCTGCTCCACAATTAGCCGGCATTACCAAGATTCCGGATAAAGTCTATCTCAATTAAAGACATATCAGGCTATAAATAATTTGAGAATAAAGGCAATTCTTACCTACAATTGTTATTTTTATCTTGTCATAAGTAGTCAAATACATTTACTCCATTAACTAGTAAGTCTGAGAGGAGGGGTCAGAGGTGAGAACAGAGTGATCTACAGATGGTGGGCTCGGTCTTTAGGCAATAATTTCGCCGATGAAATTTAGATCTCACGGAAACGGTCCAAACCGCTTAGTAATAGGGAATATCCGTTTCCGAATCCACTATTCTGCCAAGCCTAGACCAGATCGGGAGCCGTGCGCCGCCACTTAAGCTTCTTGCTGGCCTGTTGAAAAAAGGGTGTAATGCATTCAAGCTGTACTCCGTAGAGATGACGACAATCTCACACTCCCGAGTCTTGCGCCCTTCTAGGTTTTTCTTTTTCGAGGTTCTTAAAATCTGGAACGGGTCGCTTAGCACTTAGTATCCAGCAAGCGGTGTAGCTCAAGTTCTGTCTCTTCATATAAACCCTTTTCAAGACAACTACCCTATTGTGGCTACAGCGTATTTGTTTACTGACGACAGGAAGCACCCAAGTCATAACTCCAGTACAGTCTCTCTCCTAACGCTTCTGTAGTAGTAACGAAATAAAACAGCGGATATATCACTAGATGCTAAGGTGACACTGCAATGAGAGAAGTGTCTCAGGCATATGCAGTGATTCGCCATCAAAACAAATCATCTCGTCTCGATAAATGACAGCCTCAATACTACGACAGATCTCTGCAACCCAGGCTGTGCATAATCAAAACCCACAGTGTCATTCTAACCAAGGACAACTTAGGTATATTTTTTCCGGGTAATATTTCTTTTCAAGCTGTCTTATTGGTTTCCGTTGTTCCGCCTGGTTCCAGCTCGCTAGGATCTACCCCCGCGTTACGGTGCCGCTTAGCCGAGATCTACTTGCTGTGCAACGGTTCCAAATCATATTACACGTAGCTAGCGAAATCATGGAGCAGCATCCCTTCGGTGTAATAAAAGCCACACGGCCGAAAAAGCCTGCTTTGGCTATTGTCCATTCATCTATATGTATATCTAGGTGGCTCTTTCCTGGATTGCCAAGATATCACTATTCCATCAAAACTTGCACCACATTCCCAAAAGCTTCCAAGAAGTCAAAAGTATACCCCCTTTGAACACTACATTCCACTTCTACTCGCCTTGGTACCATTCTCTACGCCATCCTCCCTGCAACACTCCATCATGGAGGAAGCCACCGACCCTTTCAACCTCACATCCCGACGACGGGAAGATGTGACAAAAGAACAAATCGAAAACGATTACCCACAAGGCGATGCACGCTTACTTCAGAAGTTCTATACCCGACAAAATAAGCTTATAGACCAGTTTCTAGGCGTCGATGACGAAGAGAGGGCACAGGCCGAGGAAGAGGCTCGAGTAGCAGGCAAGATCAAGTTTGCAGTTAACGCATCCTTTGTAGTCAACTTTTGCCTTTTCGTTATTCAGTTATATGCAGCTATCTCGACGGGATCATTGGCGGTATGAGCGTATGTCTAGTAAAGTACAGGCATGCAGCTAACTTGGGTCACAGCTATTTGCCACAGCCGCAGATGCGTTTGTAGGTAAAATTTGCTGATTAAGTGACGTGTCCTAACGCCGACGCAGATGGATCTTGTTTCCTCTTTTGTGATGCTCATCACGTCTTGGCTGGCGGCTCGACCCAGCATCTACAAATATCCTGTTGTATGTCATATTATCCCTGGGTCCTTGAGGCTGAAACTCACGGCGTTCTAGGGTCGGACACGGATTGAAACCATTGGAGTCATCCTTTTCTGCGCCCTCATGACAACGGTTGCGGTACAGCTTCTGATCGAATCGGCTAGAACATTGGGTACCGGCAAGACCGAGTCTGAGGAGCTTCACTTGATACCTATTATTTTTGTTTGTGTTGCCAGTGAGTCACAGTCGAAGTCGCAAACGGCTGTTGCTAATGGATGACATTCTAGTCTTCAGCAAGGCGTCTCTCATGTTGTACTGCATGACTTACCGAAAGTACCCATCAGTCCATGTGTTCTTTGTAAGTCTGATGGAGGCCACTCCCAATGGGCTATGTTGCTCACCATTCGGTAGATTGACCACCGCAACGACATTGCCGTCAACAGCTTTGGTCTTATCATGTCGGTTGTAGGTGACAAGTTCATCTGGTACCTGGACCCAATCGGCGCCATTTGTATCGCACTTCTGATCCTTTTCTCGTGGATCTCCAATGCTTTTGGGCAAATCTGGTTGTTGGTGGGCAAGGCAGCGCCTCAAGAGTTTATTGCCAAATTGATCTACATGAGCATAACACATGACGACCAGATATCTATGGTCGAGACTGTAAGCAGAAAAACCAGGTAAACTCATAAGAAACTAACAGATGCCAGTGTCGCGCATATCATGCCGGGCAAAAGTACTATGTTGAGGTGGACATAGTCATGGATGAGCAAACATCCCTCAAGATCAGCCATGACGTTGCCCAGTCGCTGCAGCGAAAGATTGAAGGTAAATTTCTTTTATTGTCCTTGCAGACCATGCACAGATGCTCATCTATTTGCAGGGCTTGGGGATGTTGAGCGGGCATTTGTTCACGTTGATTATGAGTATGAACATAACATTCACGAAGAGCACAAGCCACTTTATGACAGGAAGGTTTAATGTAAGCCGGATTTGAACAATGGTGCAATGTGGAGTGCTCTGAAGACGAAAGACTTTTTGTATTTATTACATCATCTACTATACCCTGCTGCTGACCTTTCATATTCCTCGAACAGCTCCCCGCTAAGAGATGCATCGTCCTCAAGTATAGTGACTAGCATCTGTAAATGTTCTGCCAGGCTCAAGTTATCTCATTAATCCTCTCGCCCTCGGAGTTCTTGTCCTCGATGTGTGCCAGTCCAGTATGGACCTCAGTAGACTTGTCATCTAAAGTATCTGCACCAAGCTTCTCATTGACTGCCTCTTCATTCTCCTCTTCCTCAATGGCCCTCTTATACAGACCAGCTTTAATATCTCGTCTCCAGAGGAATTGGCCAACCATGAATAGAGTAAGATAACAACAGGTGAGAGCGACGTTTGCCGAGAAGCCCTTGGTCCACCGTGGCCCTTGAGTGATAGGGAAAGCGACAACGTTGTACCAGGTGAAGAATGCCCAGCCGACAGTCATCTGAGTATCCCTTAGCTTCGAAAAAAAAAAGCAGTTGAAGGGTTAATCAACTTACCATGGCACCAGTAGTGAAGCTCCTTGCTTCGTTATCGTCCTTCATGATTAGATGCACCCATGGGAAAAGCAATGGGGTGATGTAAGAACTTATGCCAAGGAGAAAATATGCGGCAAAGTGCAAGCCGGGAGGGATGTTCTAAACTAACAGGGTCGAGTGACAAAAGAGGAGGACAGTCCCTGCGAAACAAAAAGGCACCCAAATCGGATACACCCTGATAAAACGTGAGCTCATGATACAAAGAGGCCGGTAAAGCTCATGGTACTGACATGACAAGCGAAGGTACAGTGATACCGACGACAATGGCCAGTGCTTGTACTCCAGTGGGCAGGATGTCGATCATCTCCACAGAGTATTGGCCAGTGGACTTCACCCAAACGATCATCTGGCCGGCAACCCAAGTAGTCAGCTGGAAGCTAGGATGTTTATTAGAACCAAAAGCGAGGAGATCAGCCGAGAATATATGCGACTCACCAGACATAGGTGCACACGGCGATGTAAAAGTGCCACTTGCGGAAGACACGCTTCAGCATCTTCTTGCCGATCTTCTTGCTCTTCCTCATCCCATCGTCTTGCATACGTGCCTGAGCAAGCTTTTAGTCGTCTTCACTGAGCCACCAGACACGAGGGCTGGTAGTTACATGGATAGAGAAAAAAGCCGGCGATGGCAATGGGTAGGGAAATGATGCCATCGATAATAAAGACCCAGCGCCTGAAGTAGAGAGTCAGAGAGCTACGAGAAGTAGGGAACGAATTTTGATCAACTCACCAGCCAGCCATACCTCCCTTTCCGTCGAGACCAGCATGAGCGGCAGCTTGCATGTAGCCACCAAACATGGCACCGATATTGCTTGAAATATACCAGACTCCAGCACGCTTGAACACCTCGTCAGATCGATACTAAGAGGAAAGAATATATAAAGAGCCAGTCACAGCAGGGGTCTTGAAAAGCCCTATAAGGAATCGCATACTGTAGATCATCAGTGTGCTATTATTGCGATACTAAATAAAAGTAATAATAGACTAGAAAGTCTTATAAATAGGCAGACCTTAATAAGTATATTTAAGACCAGAAATAAGCAGTTTATAGGGAATTTTTATTATAAAATAA